TTATACTTATTCGTTTGACCAGAATGCCTAAATTATAGGCATCTCTTTAATACCACATTTACTGTTTGAAACAGCTCAGTCATGATGAGGATCAAGCTTGTTCCTTCCTTCCCGAGCTTTCTGAACAGCTTGGCTGCAGTTTGATGACCTAGTCTAGTGATGTCTTTTTCTCACGTGACTGGCCTTGTCACTCTCACATGGGATCATTTAATGTGATTACACGTGTCATAAAAGGAACAACCTCCTTCAGAATCTTAACTATTAAAATTGTTCAAACTCGACTTTGTTCATTTGCAACAACTGTTCGAGGTCTATTTGAGATTATAGTGGGTTAGTTTCAAACATTTTGTTCGAACTTAGTTCGTTATTTTTCTTTTAAAATCAAACTCATTTCGGCTTGGCTCGACTCAATTCATATCTATTTAATCGAATCGGGCCCGAATTTATTTTTGAGCTTAAATTTGTGGGCAGAGTTGTGTTAAAAAATCTAGGGCTTATCGAGGATGAGCATTAGTTATTAAACATTATGTGAGTTCCGATTTACTCTCCGAAAATGTAATACATCAACTAAATGTATAGTATGTAACATAAATCATAAATGTTTTATCTTCACGAATCTAGACGACAAAAAAGTCATTATTTCAGCGCAGCTCATTTAATCATAAGTTTTAAAATTTGGTTCGAGCTTGATTTGTTTCACAAACGATCGAACTTGAATGTTTTAGCCAAATCCATTCCAAGTTGTCTATAAGCTTGGGCTGGAAAGAAATTACTCTGAATGGCCCGCCCTTTCACAATTCTAACGCCCAGATTTCAGCCACAAGTTTGGGTCGATCCATAGAGCTTTTAGGTGGAGCATCCGATTCTTAAATCCGATCCCGAGCAACCCATCAACCCCCAATTCAAATTGTGGAAAAAAAAGCCCAAACCAGTGGATCCAGAATTTGTAAAGCAAATTCCTTCTTCGGCTATAATAGTTTCTAATGGAGAAATTTGGAGGCTGGCCCGTTTTGTGGACTTGTTTGATGATAAATTCATTAAAAATAGTTGTTGAATATTAAGTTCATGTTTACCTTTATTGTCTAAAATACCCCTAGTAGTTATGTTTAATAAAAATAAATTTGAAAACTAATAACTCTTAAATTTTAAAAGTTTAACTAACACTAAAATTTTCTCTTTCTCATATATATATATATAGATACATACATACATATAGTAAAATTAAAAAATATAGTAACATTTAAACACAAAAAAAATAATAATAAAATTTAAACACAAAAAAATAATAATATTTTAAAAAAACTAATAACATTAAGTATTAATATTTCAGAAAATAACAGTAGTAATATACTCAACAAAAATAACAATATGAATAATAACATGCCCAATAAAAACAGTAACATAATAAAAAAATTAATAGAGAGCATATTAGATGTTCTTTGAATTTGAATTTTAAATTTATATAAAAAAAATATTAACATATTTTCATTGATAGTGAATTAAGAGATAATAATTCACATATTAGGAAACTAATTTAAAATTGTTTTCAAGGAATGGTATTTTAGAGTTTTTAAAAAATAATTAACTTAATTATTTATTAGTAAGATTAAAAATGAATTTATCCTCAAATAATTGTTTTTAACGAACTAATCTCATTATAAATTTTTTAAGGAGGAATCGGCCCAAATTTTTACTATGTAAGGTAATAGAAATTATAGCCTCAATAAAACATATAATAAAACAAAATTCATTTATTCCATCACAAATAATTCTATTAAAACTCGCTTTGCTAAGGAGCTATTTTGTGTGTGCGCGCGCGGGGGCAAGATATATGAAGGAGAAAAAGTAATCAAAGTTGGTAAATCACGAGACAACTCACTATCCAAATGTCAAATCTAAACAATATTTCAGACAGACTTAACTCTCTTGAATCAGTCATATAGCGGCAAGAGTATCTTGGCATTTTCAAGCCATTGATTTGGTACAAGTAATTAGCGGGACTCTACGTGGTTATACCGTCTCTGAATTGACAAGTGGAATAATGAAATTGTTGGAATGTCCAAAGGGCGTCGAAGAGATAAGTCGAAGTATGGTGACACCGAGCAGTCGAGTACGACAGTTAGCATCGTATTTAATGCAATGTGACCTTTCATTTATGATGAAATGAGTGATAGTAACAAAACAAATAAACACGTGCCTGTAAGCACCTGCACTCTGGGAGTCTAGACCTACTATCATGATGACTAAACATTAATGGCTGAAGCGTCGAGATGACGCGATCGACTCCCCCCGAAGAACTGCTCCCCCAAGTATTCAATGCTCAGTTAACGTCAAATGCCCATCTGAAAAATTTGGGTACTCGGGGGAGGGGCATAAATGCTCGGCATTTTACCGAGCATTTATCCCATCTTCCTAGCATTTAATAGGAGGAGACATGAGTAGAAAACACTCATTGCATGAGAAATTGAGTGTCAGATATAAGATGTCCAGATGGGACTGGAGATCTTTGACAATCATTGTTAATTCAGGTATAAATACTTCTCAGAAAAATGGACAAATGTACGCAAACTTGAACCAGAAAAAGATTGTCCATTGAGCTAAATCCTTCAACCTTAGACTGACTTAAGTTTTGGATGGGTAAGCCGGGTGCTCACCTAACCCCTTTTTTCTGACCCTATTGTTTCAAGTTCACCAGTTTGAAGATCGTTATTTCAAACTATTGCAGGAATTATCTCGTGCAGTAATCATGGTATTTTTCACTTGAGTCAAGATGGGAAAAGAAAACAGTCTAATTTAAGGAGTAGAATCACATGTAAACTCAAAATACAAAGGCCAATACCAAGTCAAAAGACCCTAACTACGCTTTCATAGAAAGATCAAAGATGGATGTTCTGAAAGTACCTAGAGAGAGACAGAGAGAGATTTTATAATGTGTATAATTTTGAATAGTGGTCGGTCCTCCAGAAATCAGTAGCAGTGAGATTTTGTGAGGTGGTTGTTTCGAAGAATTCAATCCCCCAAAGGTGTAGCCATCACAAGCACATATCTTCCATCCAACCGCATATTATTTGGGTCCTACCACAGTTTCTTTTGTCGACTATCTCTCTCTCTCTCTCTCTCTCTCTCTCACACACACACACAATTTTCTGTTCTATACTGAACCCCATAAGAAAAGTCGATGAGGTCATTCGACAAATCTTTGCCCATGTTTTTTGAAAAGAAAAGCACTTTTCTTGGCTGCCCATGCTTTATTTATGCATCTCATGGGTTGAGGAATTTTAATTACTAAAAAGCAGATGTTAATTACAAAATTTTGATCATTATACACATACGCACACATGAATTCGATCGCATGTTAGAAATAAAGATAACAACATAACTTTAGAACATCCAAAAGTTTTTTGATTTGTACGTTCAAAAAATTCAACTTAAGATTTTTATTAACCTAGTTTAAGAGCCGAAAGACTAAGTAACTATTTTTTTCACATTTCGAGTGACTAAAATACAATTAGTTTGTTCAATATAAATACAATTTAAAACCTAGACAACTAGATTTCCTTGAATTCGAGAGATTAGTCCCAACAATCTCTATCGTGAGATATTGCCAACAGCACTTGCTCTGGAATACTATCTAGTGGTAGATGCTTTTCATATATAAGTAAGAACAACTTGATGGTAGTGGAATGTGTTGTTGGTCTCAAGTATTAAAGACTTAACAAAACATTTCTTTACAAGCATTAATTGAAGAATGCATTAAAAAAAGATAAATGTTAAAAAGATAAATACGACTTAATAGCCTCGAAGCAACATGCCATAACAAATAGACATTTGTGTCTAATGCCACTTGTAAAATGAATTGAACATGGGATATTATTTATTGTGTGGGGGAGTTTATTTTTTGTGTTTATTTTTTTTTTTTTGGTAACCAAGATATCCAAAGCTCTTAGATTATCAAATTTACCAAATTATGCAGGTTTTTTCTGTCTCAACAACTCCCTCACCAATTTGCAGTTCACATCAGAAAAAAACAGAAGGAGGTGAAAAGAGAGCAAGAAAGATAAAGACTAACCCGCTGAAGAGTCAATAAAGGTGAACCCACTAAAAGCTATACATTCAGAATCCCACCCACAAGGTTTAAATTAGTTTAGATACACCCTATTAGTAGCACTATAGACAAAAAAAAATACCATTGTAGTCAAAACAAAACTCTCTCCGTCTTTCTCATCCATCATTCACCATCTTAATATATATATAATCATACAAAATGTTACTAGTCAAAACGAACCTATCTCTTTCTCTCTTTATTCCATCATCCATAAAGTAAGCCAACACAACACAAACATTCTTTCTTGCATTAAGGGCAGTTGCAGACAAAGGAGGTGAATTCTCTGTCTTGAAGACATCTCTAGCTTTATGTCACCTTTTTTTTTTTTTTTTGGCCTTTTTGAATTCATGAATCCTGCTAAATTGGCACAGGTGGGTAGATTATTGTCTCCATTTTTTTTCCTCTGTGAGTTTGAGTTCTTGTTCTTCTGCGTTGGACTGCGGAGATTAGTTTCGAACAATTTTCACCGGTTTAATTTCTTAGGAATTGTTGTGGATTTCAATTTCATATGTTACGTTGCTAAACGATGATGTAGGTCACACTCATATTCTTACTTTCGTTGATTTTTTTTTTTCTTTTTCCCATATTGAAGTTCTAATTTGTTCTTTAGACATGAAAGCACTGCACTTTTTCTTTCTTCCGCTTTTTGCTTATCTGTGTTAAGTCTGTTGACAGATAAAAGGATGGAAAAAGGCATTCTTCGTTATTGTTTGCTTCTTTTTTCTTTCTAATGATTCTCAAAGTGAAAGCTATCTTTTTCTGTTTGACTGTAAAGCTTTTCTAGATCTCTTAGTGATAATCCTTTTGTTCTTCGGCCCCCCCCTCTTTCTCTTTCTCTCCCTCTCTCTCTCTCTCTCTCTCTCCCCCCCGTCTGAGGTGGTTTCAGGAGATTGGAATGGTGAAACCCATGGAAGAGATAGCTCCTGATGCATGCTCAAGGCCTGTGATAGAGAGAAAGATGAGGCCGCCAAAGGAGCAAGCTTTGAATTGTCCAAGATGTGATTCAACCAACACCAAGTTCTGTTACTACAACAACTACAGTCTCAATCAACCAAGATACTTCTGCAAGACTTGCCGAAGGTACTGGACTGAGGGCGGTTCTCTCAGAAATATTCCTGTTGGAGGGGGTTCAAGGAAGAACAAAAGATTTGCTTCATCGTCTTCATCATCAACAACATCATCAGTTTCATCCCAAAAACTTCCTGATCTAAACCCGCAAAATTTCTTACAGTTTTCTTCTCAAAGCCCTAAGACCCATGGAGGCCAAGATCTTAACCTAGCTTTCCAAGTTGCACAAAACCACCATGGTGTATCTCAATTCCTTGAGTTCCCCAAGATTGTGAGCCACAACTTTAATCAGCCCAACTCTTCTTCTTCAACTTCCTCTAGCACTTCAACACCTATTTCATCCCTAGAATTTCTAAGGACTGGAATTGCACCTATGGGTATGAATTTATTTATCCCACCACCAATGCCCGATACGAATATGCTACACACATCAGGGTTTCGTTTCCAAGAATTCAAGCCAAAGTTAGGTTCTTCCATTGATGAGCTTGGAGGTACAAGATATGAAGGTTTTCATGGGGTTCAAGAAGATGGTGCAAGACTGATGTTTCCTTTCGGAGCATTGAAACAACTTTCAAGCACAAGTGATCAAGGGGGTCAGAATAAGGGACAAGGGAATTCAACTGGATATTGGATGTGATGTTAGGTTGGGATAATGGTAAGCTGTTGTTTTTTTTTTTTCTTGTTTGGAGTTGTTTAGAACTAACATGAGAATTAGATATGGTTTGTTTCTACTCCACTTTTTGATAACTGTGAACAACTTGAAGATTGATTCAAGTACCTTAGAGGGTCTCGCTGCATCATGAACGTCGTTTTAAAAATTTTGTGACTACGTAACATCAGAAGAATATATCTGTTACAATTTGCCCCATATCGACACGATAATAAATTCGAAATTAGTATATGAATCTCTCATAACTCTTCCTCAATTATAAAATCTTAGCTTTTCCTAGCAACTTTTTACTTGTACATGTGCAGGTAACAGCAGTATATGTGTTAATTGCTAGCTCTCATCTATTATTTTTGCTGCTATTGATCGATGTTAATGAGGCCTAACTTTTAATCCTTTCAGCTCTCAGTAAACGGTACAGAAATGTCAGATATGACCTTTGTCAATAAAAGTTAAAATTCTATAAAAGTAAAGAAGCAATAGCAACTATGCAGTACTACAGCAAAAACAGCAACTATGCAGGTCTCATGCTCTCAATACAACTCTCTTTTTTTTCTTGACAACCGCAAAAACATATCAAACCACTTGTTCTCAACTCATAGGTGAAACATAAATCTTGTTGTTGGGACTCATTACTGCAATATAATTCTCCAGACCGCACACAGATTGATTAGATTCGGATTATATGTGTCTAGTGGGAGTCTAAAACTTCAAGAATTTGTGCCCACCTTTAGTTTGACCACAACCATCCTGCGCGAGTTAAGGGCCATTATTTCCCTTAATATGGAGTCTAAATAAGATTTAATAATGCTAAGTCACTGACAAAATACTTTGAAAAACCAGTTTACCTGCCTCCACCAAAAGCTAAATTCATCATTTTCCATGTCCCACTCCGTTTAGGGGACCCTTAAACTGCCCCCATTTGCCATGACTAATCATAACTTTCATGTTATACACCTCTCAATATTCAAACACAAAGAAAAGTCTGACCAACGAAGCACTCTCGGAGGGGCCCTCTAACCACTCTCTGGGCAAGCGTGCCGAGAAATAATCTGCTCCACTGAGCCAGTCCACCCAAATAGTAGTGTAGAGTGTAGACTATTCATTTCATAGGTTGTATCTTCCTCTGTTCATCACTCCATGTAATTTAGTCCAAGGTGGAAGGCTCACCTCCCTATCATGGAGGTCCCTTTCTTCCCATTTTTAGGCCTAGGTATGTGAAGTAAGAAAGAAACATAACATGGGCCTACATGCAGGGTTTCTACAACAGCACAGTAGTAACTACATCTTACATCGCCTGATAAAATTTGCGTGAAGTAATAAATGAATGAGTTTTGAACTTTCATTATAACACGAATAATATTGTACAAGGTCAATATGAAATGTTACAATTGATACCCAAGTTGTTGAACTAAGGTGTATGAGCTACTGGATAAGCTGAGCCAGACGAGGCAATTCACATTGTTAGAAGTTTGTTATGCTCAACTGTCAAGTTGTTCCTGTTAATTAGAATTGATAGCTGAGGTAAGCTAATTTGTATATAAATACTCTGATGTAAACAGTTTAGAGTGTGTGGAATCAAAACGTGAATACCATTTCCTCTCTATCTCTCGGTTATTCTCATTTCCTCTTCAGTTCTAATATGGTATCAGAGCAATGTTGAAGCTTCTTCTCCAAGTTTTCGACAACTATGGCGACTGATTCAACAGTTTCTTCCACTTCAAGTCCGACTAAAGATTCTTCTCAATCCTTCCTCATTCATCATGGAGATAGTCTAGGAGCTATGTTAATATCTCAGCCGTTAACAGGTGAGAACTATAATTCATGGAATAGATCAATGTTCATGGCATTAAGTGCCAAGAGCAACGTAGGTTTTATTGATGGGGCAGTCTCTAACCCTGCTAATCAGTTAGATCCACTTTATAATCCTTGGATCCGTTTCAATAACATGGTGATCTCCTGCATTCTGAATACTTTGTCAAATGAAATTGCAAAAATTGTTTGTCTTATATGTGAGCTTAGCCAAAGAAATTAGGAACGAACTGGAAGAGATTTTCTCAGACAAATGGACCACGAATTTTTCAGATTCAGAAATCAATTTCATCTTTAACACAAGATCAACTCTCTGTTAGTTCATAGCACACTCGTCTCAATGGCCTTGGGGATGAATATATGAACTATCATCCTCTACCAGTTTGTTCATATGGAACTTTGAAGAAACTGATTGAGTTTCAACAAGAAGACTGCGTCATTTAGTTCCTGATGGGATTAAATGATTCATACAACCAAATCCAAAGTCAAATTCTTCTCCAATATCCTCTTCCCCCAATCAATAAAGTGTTCTCCTTAACTCTTCAAGAAGAAAGGCAACGAGAGATCATTGCTTATGTTTCTCCTACTGTTGATCCTACTGCTCTTCTCAGCAAAACAAATGTTTCAACTCAGCCGAACACTGTGAAACATAACTCCAACAAAGCCAGGCCAACCTATACTCATTGTGGAATAACTTGTCATACTATTGACAAATGTTACAAGTTACACGGATATCCTCCAAGTTTTAGGTTCACAATAGACAGAAATAATGCTAATTCTGCAAATCAAGTAACTGGACAGACTAATAGAGAAAATCTCTCGTCATGTGACAAGGCCACTGCAACTCCACAATGTTCAATCACACAAGATCAAAATCAACAACTTCTAAATCTCCTAAGGTTCAATCCAAAGCAGGAAAACAACCAATAGTATCAAATAGGTAGATATGTCAATGAGTCTTTATAAATAAGTCAGGTAATTAACCTGCATCCTCTTATGCTTTATCTTCAATTCAGTCATCTATCTTTAAAGACAAGATCCGTTGGGTAATCGACACTGGTGCAACTGATCACAAATTGTGTTCAGTTAATCACTTGAATTCCATCACATCCTGCATCAATACTTCAGTAAAATTGCCAAAGGGAAGTATGTGTTTTTTTTTTGGGAGTGGGAGTGGGAGGGGGAGGGGGAGGGGGAGGGGGGAAGGGGGCTTGAACCCTGGACCTCAAAAAGATAAAGCTTTCACAAGGTAAGGAGTACTATTATGTGTCAATTAGCCATATTGGAACTGTTAAACTATCAAACACAACTACTTTGAATAATGTTTTTTGTGTTCCATCCTTTAACTTCAATCTTCTATCTACCAGTAAACTTCTTCATCAATTTCTTCTTGTTTTCTCTTCTTACCAGGCCACTGTTTTGTTCAGGACCTGTCATCATAGAAGACAATTGGGATGAGTGAATAAATAAATGGTTTGTACTACTTCTTATAAGGACCAGTTACACAACTCTCTTTAGTTCTTTTCTCTGTTCATAACTCACCAAAAGTACTTAGCAATTTATGGCACTATAGACTTGGACATTTATCTTCCAAAAGATTAGAGTTGTTGCATGAACATGCATCTGAAATTTCTTTTTCTTCTACTGATTATTGTAATATTTGTCACTATGCTAAACAAAACATATTAGCATTTCCTATTAGTCTCACTTTTTCAAGTGCTCCTTTTGTATTGATACATTTTGATATCTGAGGTCTTTTTTCACTTTATCATTGAATAGTTCTCCATACTTCTTAACTACTGTAGATGATTTTTCCATTTGCACTTGAATTTATTAGATGAATTCCAAATCAAAAATAAAATCTTTAATCGGGTCATTCTTTGCTCTAGCAAAAACTCAATTTGACAGTTATTAAAACCATAAGAACTGATAATGGTCAAGAATTTGCTATGAATTCATTCTTTTCTTCTCAAGGTGTTGTTCATCAACACAGTTGTGTTGATACTCCTCAGCAAAATAGAGTGGTTGAGAGAAAACATCAACATCTCGTGAAAAGTGGTTGTTTAGTTACTTCTAGCTTTCAAGTCTCAGGGAATGTGTATGCACTATAAAAGCTTTTTGTATGACTTGGACATTTCTTATCCAGAGATGTGTTTCATGAGCACAAACCTTACTCCGGTCAAATCATATTCTCTCACATCTCTTCTCCGGCTCACTTTATCCCATCCTATGTTTCATCTTTCATACCCTCATCTTTAGATTGCTCATTCCCAGCCAACACTACTCTTTTGTAACAATCAGGCTGCTCTCCATATTGCAGCTAATACAGTCTTCCACGAATGAACCAAATTTATTAAACTTGATTGTCATTTGATCTAAAGACAAAATACAAGTTGATTTAATCAAAACATTACATGTTTCCTCTTCCAATAAATTAGGTGACATCCTCACCAAACTACTTGGGATTCCTCAGTTCAGTCTTCCCAGCAAGTTGGGTGTTTTTAACATCCACACTCCATCTTAAGAGGCGTGTTGAAACTAAGGTGGATGAGTTGCTGGATAAACTGAGCCGGACAAGGCAGAGCAATACAAGTCATTGGCCCTAGTGGTCTAAAGACTACCTAGACTGTGTACCGCTTGGTGCACCCTAGTCTGACAAATGATGACTTAGAACGGCAACGGCTAAACACGACATCCTCCAAAAACTCAAATCATCTGAGTTCCCATAGGTCCCCAACGAGAACTCGGAGCTTAAACAGTGAATTGTGATGACCTCAATTCCACAGGGCTTGATGAAGTGTATAACAATGAATAAATATGAGCTTTGAAATTGAACCTGAACTGATACCGATAATATTATATAGTACGTATCCGGGTCTTATTATACATACCTTGACGAGTAAAGGAGACCCACATCTTACATTTTGCAACCCCTATAGAATTCTCAGCTCAAATTCTCCTGTCCTCCTCATATTCTAAGATTGAAACTCAGCTCGACTCCGACATCACAATACCAACAATGTGAGAATGCTCATGGAGTAGGGTCATTGTCTATTAAATATTCATTCTCAAAGCACATGAAAATTACAGAGATGCTGTAATAAGCTCATAACAGGAGCATTATCTTCCAATACATTGAATATCCTACTGTACAAGGACAATATTGCTTCAATATCTCGGAGGAGAGGGCTTGTAAAAATATCAAAGCACAAAAACAATACATACCCCTATATCTTTTCAGGCTCTCACTTCTATACAGAAACATAAACTTCTCACAGAACTTGAAAATTTTGGTGGCTTTTAACCTGGTAAAGCAACTGAATCCTAATGTAAGACCCAACTCACTGATCTCCATTAATTCCAAATATCCGGACCTTGTGCATATTGGGAAATTTTGCAACAACCAGCACAAGCACTGCAAGAGTATTGAAGAAGAGCATTGGATGTTCATAGTCAGTTGTGTGTGAAGCAATCAAGTACCTGTCAGTATAACAAATCGAAATTTGTATTAATTAATAAGTAATAACTTACAAAAAAAAAAAAACAGAGCTGCAATATCCCATCTACAAAAAATGAGTATTTGTATTAATTTCGCAGTTAAAACTGATACTAAGGAGGAAACCAAATATGATAATGAACAAAACTTAAGCCAAAAACTACCCCGCATTTCATCAAGATAGTAAACAAAACCCTTACTACTGATAATAAATTCCCATTCCCACGATCCATTTCACGTATAAAATTTCACTGGCAGAACATTTCAGGTTCCTAATAACCCAATAAATCCGCACCAAGTCATCTGTTAATTCCCCGATACTGTGTTAGAATCTTTGAAATTATCAGGAGCTGACAAAATGGAAATCATGACATAATAGCTTGGTGGCAGTATTTGAGCATAGATATAACCAACTTATCATCATCAAAACTACTTTAAGAATCACTACCAACAAGAATGTTTCATATTTCATCCCAATAGATAATCATAAATGTTAAATCCTATTCCATACCATGGCAAGAGAATAAAGTTTATTATTATATTCTTTTGTTTGTTTTTGAGAGTTGAGTACAAGAGAGCAAAAGGTTCCTCTCTCTCTATCTCACTTTTCTTTGTTTGTTACTTGTTCCTCGGACTTGATATCTAAATCTTCTCTGTTTCCGCTGCTCCTATCTGTCATCTCTGTTCTGCTGTTCCTTTGTAACATACCAACACAACCATACAATTACAAGTGCGTATAGACACTAAGCTAGAGCAGCTGGACTATGTACAGATGTGCCCCCTAATCCTGGCAATGTACTCATTTACAATATATAAAAACTCCAACTTTATTGAGTGAATTAAGCTTTTAGATATCAAAGTGACAAGATCTAAACCAAGTCTAGACCATGAGTTGGAGCTGCTGGACTACGTACAGCCGTGTCCCCTAATCATAGCAATGTGCTCATTTACAATATATAAACACTCCCAAGTTTTGTGAGTAGAAAATGCTGGAATTTATCAAAGTAACAAGATCTAAACCAAGTCTAGACCATGAGGCCCCAAGTACAATTTTCCATACACCAGTTTCTTCCTTTAATGACGACCATAGCCCAAACAAGCAGTGAATTGGTTAATAACAAAACTACTCCCTGCTAGCATATACTTAAAAGCCACATCAACATCTATAACAAATAATGTCTTTAATTTTCATGAAATCAACAAAATTATTTAAACCTTTAAGTGCAATAATAGGAAAGGAAACAGATTACTCTTTCACAGGAAATTAAAAAAAAAATACTCACATCGACAAGTATGTTTTGTAATATTCCAAAGTCATTTTGTATTGCCTGCACTACTATGACTGATACCAAGACTCAAAACAATGAGCTCAATGCCAAGTTTTACAAGAAATTATATTCTCAAAGACACGACATTGAAAAATCATCAATTAGTGGAAACACTTGGACCAGTGTGTTACTTTTTTGGGATTGCATCTCCCTTCAAAGTTGAGAACATGACCAATACATCACGAGTAAGCAAAGTCCCAATCCAAACATAGTGACCGTTGATGATCCTACTATATGAAGTAGTAGATTTGGGAGGCTTTTTTTATGTGTGAGTTGCTTGGGGCAGAGAAGAGGAGGCAAGGGGAGTTTTTTTTTTTTTTTTTTTTTTTGGGGGGGGGGGGTTGAGCTACTTCTAGAATATCCTTATATTAATCATATAAACAGCATAATCAAAGCTAATCAATGACGCAGCCACCCAATATTATACCCGCTGTCAATATGCTCCCACTAACTTTATTATAACTTCAATGGGATTTATGTCACAGTCATACACTGTAAAGTAGCAAATCACATACACACAAGCCAAAAGGCAAAAGTTATATATAGCAGTCAAAAGGACAAAAAATACTTACAGCACCACAGGTACAACTGTTAGAAACTTCCTATTGCGAGTGAGTTGCTTCCCACTGTCAACCTGCTCCCACCAAGTCAGCCCATTGTAGATTCCCTGGTCATCAGCAAATGGAGTTCCTTTCTTCCAATGAAAGAAGTGATAAGTTACCTACATGGAGAAGCATACCCTTAATCATCACGCTCTGTAAATGTGCCATGCATATTAAGCAAGCAATGTTATGATATAGTTACAAAGAGTATAATTTCAGTTTCAATCAAGGATTCCCCAAAACAAGTTGCAGCAGATGAAGTAGCATAAGATTTACAAAAATATATAGCTAAGGATGGCTGCTAAATAATTTGGGAATGGTTATGAATGGCAGAAGCGTGTTAAAAAGGGATAAGAAAGAGAGATAAACCTACGTAATCGCAAAGCATAGCTTCAAGTTGTAGTTCCTAAATTGAGCTTTGAGTAAATTCAAAAGGTATGTCCAAAACCCATTAAGACCCCAAATAACAGTCCTACCCCATAATCTGACAAATCCTTACTACCAAATAAAGGCCAAATAATAAAACACAAAAGAACAAACAATATTATACAACAGCCTTGCTATTGCCATTCGTAAACACTCATGCTACAGCAGTACAAGCAATCTCATGCTAGAGTGCAGGAACATTACTCATTGTTTGCCAAAACGACTCCACATAAACGTAATATTTCCCCCATTTAACATAAAACCTAACAAGACACCAGATAACTGCTAAAGGAGCCAAAAGTACCACATACACTTCCCTTTCTTCTGTGTCTAAAATGACATAAGTTTCTTTGTTCCAATGTTTCATGGCTTCCCTTTTGATGGTAAATCATTGTCTGGTTAATGATGTCAGGCACTCTATGACCATGGTATCTTAACTTAGCGGTTAATGATGTCTCCCAAAAATAAAAGCCCACTGAAGAGGAAAGCTTACTTGAGTGGCCTCCTTATGCAAAGTTTAAATATGGATGCATATAATGGAATTCATCGATTGCCTTCATAGATGCCAGTACACAGATGCGATCATAATAAATGCAAAAGACCAGGTGATTGAGTTTATTAGCAAGAAATCAGAATGTGTTTAATTTTCAACATTTTTAGGCGCCCAACGATGAAGGTGAATGTCTAAAAGGAAACTAACTGGCTATAGTAGGAGACCTTGAGAAAAGAAATAAAACAGTAAGTTCACGGACAAGGGTCTGTTAACTTGAGTTTAGTTTAGTTGAGCTGGTGGTATAATGCTTCTTTTAGTTCGGGCATGGTTTTGTTGAGTTGACTCAATTGGGAGGGATTAGGTGAGACTAAAATCTCCAAACCAACATACATGTTATACAAGAGCTAAGATTTTTTCTCCTCTAGAGCCAAAAGAGTAGTCAATGAAACGGGAAGACAAAATATGAATAGGTTTAAGTTTTACATATAAAAGACAACAAATGAATAGGTTCAACTCTGAATCCCAAAAGAAAAGTACCCCATATACTCATTCAATCCGTACTACATGTTTATGAATCCGAAAAAGAAATTATGTGGAGTGCCTCACAAAAAAAAAAAACTCGAAACCCTAACAACAGAGAACCGAAACGGTCGGAATCAAAAAGAGGTTATTAAGAAACCCCAATCCCGTTTAAACAAACTAAACCCCCAAAATAATAGTGAACAAAAAAACGAAATTATCCAAACAACTTGCTAACTTACAACAAAATCGATGAAACCAACACAACCACCAATTGAAAGCATAAAGGAATCGACAACATTCAAACCCTAAAAACCCAAATTAAAAGAGAGACAGAGACACCAATTGAGGAGCAATACTATATATACATCACGTTACGTATAGAACAGACAACAAGTGCATACAGCAAAGTGAGAGAGGTTGACGATGGTCCAGGCCATGCCAGGAGAGCAGCCGAAGATGGAAAGAACGAGAAGCCAAGCAAAGAAGAGAATCAAGATATAGGTGGTCCAAACCCCAGGGTAAGTGAACCACTCTGTGTTCCTGTTTAGATCAGCGGACGGCTCCGCCTTCACGTACAAATTCGCCATTTCCGGCTTTCTCCGTAACCCTAATTTCTTTGATGGTGATGATCTTGATTCTGAATTCGATGATTCTATTGCAAAGAAAGAAAAGAGCTGATCAAATGCGAATTGCAATGCAAAATCACCTCCACTACCTCGATCAATCGATCAAACGCACACTCAGTATCTCACGTTTCGATTTCTTGTGAAAATTTTTTCCAAACCCACACCCAAACCCAAAAAGCTTTGTGGGTATGCGTCTCTCTCTCTCTGAGTTTATCGCAGATTAGACTCGCTGGCTGCCAATTGGCTTACCGCATATAATTAATTAGCAACGATAAAAAAAAACCCAAAAATTAAACGAAATAAAAAAGTGGAATTACAGGGAAATCCCTCAACTTTTCGGTGGTATAACGGAACACCCTGAACTCTTAAAATAACAAAGAGAACAATTTGAGCACGTTAACTCGAATTCAATTCGAGTTCAATTTGAAAAAAATAGAGATTGGGTTAGAATTTTTAATACTTGAATTAAACTTAGGCAAAAAAACTTCAACCCAAATTGAATTTGGGCAAGTCTCAGTTTGAAGTCTCAGATTGTCGAGTTCAACCAGAATATTAAAATCAGGTTGAACTCGATTATTAAATCGGGTTGAACCCGAATATGCTTAAATATATAAATATATTTAACTAGAATTAATATTTATTTTCACTCTTTAGAGTCCAAATTTTTATTTCACTTCAAGTATTCACCCTTACGCGTCCATCACTTTTAGACCCCTCTCTCACTCGTCACTCCTCCCTCTCACACTCGTCACTCCTCTTTCTCTCACTCACTTTCACTTCATTTGCGCATCGCCCTTCATCTCAGATCACTTGAAAAAATTAGATCTACACTTGAAAAAATTAAATCTACACTTTAAAAATTAACCTGAATTAAGTAACTCAAGTTCGACTCGATTTTTAACCTGAAATTACTCCAAATTAAGTAATTCGAATTCAATCCGAGTCTACCCAAATTAAACTCGAGCAGTACTCGGGTTGAGTGTCTCAGATTAAGATAGGATTAAGGTTAGGATTAAAATTTATACCTAGGATTGACCTCTCGATCTGCCTGAATTGCACCCCTACTTAAAATATCAATCATCTCAATGGAGTTAATCGAGTCGGGCCTTTTTTGAGCTTTTGTGTGTTTGACTTGGCTTGAGTTTAATGCAATTTTTTTAAGTTTGGTTGTTGCCTTTAAATTTATAATAGAGTGACACAAAATTTATCTCTTGACTTATGTCGAGCTATTGATTATTGGACTCAAACTTACAATCTCATGATTTGAAGTCAAATGCTAATCCATCACTCCAAATGTGCAATTTTGTTGTTTGGTCACCACCAGTTCATATCAAAAATGAATTGAGGTCAAGCTAATTGAGTCCAACAAAGTATTACTCAAACTTAACTTGAGAATTTAAGAATTTAATTGTACCTATTCATTTTACACTATGAACGAACTTAAAACAAGTCAAATCAATTTGTTTAAGAGTCATATTCACACAATGTTGAGGTTAAAAGGGAACCTCAAACTTACCACGACGACAAAGTCAAGCTATTTTCCTATAAAAATTACTGAAATAGTGCATTCTTGCAAATGGTTATAAAAACTTACTCAAGTTGTACAGGGTCCAAGAGAAATGTGCTGTGTTGGTGTAGTTTGGGTGAACATGATCCATCTGAGACAATCATCTTCAAAAAATAATCCCCTGGTAGGTAAGATACATGAACTTATAAGGGAAATGTGTGTGTGTGTGTTTTGCTATATTTTTATTTATGATTCAATGTGAATATCTCTATCAATTAAAATGGTATTTTTTTGGGTTAAATCTTAAATTGAACTTTGAAAAATTGTTCAAATTTCAATTTATACCTTCAAAGATAAAAAATTTTAATTTGTACCCTTAAAGATAGAAAATTATATCAATACGCACCAAAAGCTAATAGCTGTCAATTTGCCGTCTACAACTAAATGAATAAATTACGCCTAAACACCATCATACTTGTCATTTAATTACTTAGACCCCTCACATTTGAACTATTATACCTACATCCTTGAGAATCTATATATGACTAAAAATGTTCCCCCAATTGAGTATTCAAATAATTTTGTTTAAGTGATGTATTGCATTGGATATAAAAAATATTATATAAATACTTGAATTATATAGGGCATTCAAATGGTAAATTTAATTTTGAACTTTAAAATATAACGTACTCACAAAATAAAGGACAGTATGAAATTATAATTTTTTATTAGAATAAAATTATATTTTTTAACTGTTATATTAATAGATATCAACGACAATGGGTTATGTGTTATATGTGCACAAATGTCAGGAGATATAGGAGTAATATTCTAAATATGATGATGTTTAAATGATTAAGTAATAAGAATGAGGGGATTTAGATGTAATTTATCTATTTAGTTTTAAACGACGAACTGATTAATTTCCAGTACGCATTGATACAAATTTTTATCGTTAATGGTATAAATTAATATTTTTTATTTTTAAGGGTACAAATTAAGATTCGAATGATTAACCCTAAAGATGTCAATATCAACAAAAACTATATATGCAAAGGAAAATACTAACGCCCAAAAGATGTCATTGAACGTGTCATGGTGCACAATCTAGTTCACTTATCATTCCACATGGACTGCAATACGTCTCCACAATATCTTAGCATGCATGCGTTACCCACAATAGCAGAATAATATATATATGTGTGTAACTCGTACCGTAGTACGTATTATATTTTTTTTGTTTGGGTAAGTGTCGTTCGTATTATATTACTTAAACAAAGCCATTTGTTGTATTGCATTCCATCGAGCCAAAAGTTATCTTTTTCATTAATTCTCTATACGTGGTTGAACTATAATATTGAACCTCCACTGAGGTTTATCACTGATAGCTCAGTTAACTTTTCAAGCTATCACGTTCTAGTCATTCTACTGAACAACACACATATAGTGGTGGAGCTACTTTATGGGCTGGGGACCAAGAAACCTATTATTGTACGTAAGTACCTACGGTCATTTAAACAACGTTTCGTAATAATATTTTGATTTTGTCACTAAAAAGATACGAATTTAAAGTTGTTTAGAACCGAATAAGCCAAAACATTCACCTAATTAAATACTTTCTAAGGCTTCGATATGATGGGGACATATATAGTACGTACGGTGATAACCTAAAAATGATTGTAACTTTGAAACACCGAAAGAAGGCCACCAGTTCACAGTTTAAATTAACAATTGCTTGTTGTTAAAGGCCTTCCACTTTGAGGCTATACGCACTAGGAGAAATGTAAAAGTAGGTCATATCTGTTTCTAATATCAAGGAGGACCTAAATTTCGGTCTCTCTCTCTCTCTCTCTCTCGTGTTACCCAGCCAGTGTCAGCAGGAAAAAACAGTAATGCCATAAACAGAAGGACTTGGTCTCAAACTGGCTTGCAGTGCAACAGCACTGTGCCAAAACCTTGAGCAGAGGCACATGAATGTGGCATATATATCACCAAGTATAGGCACACAAACTGACAGGCGTATGATGCTATGCTTGAATTGTAAAGCATGGCTCATTAGTGTTTTTTTTTTTTCGTTTCTTTCCAAACATGAATGAAAAAGAAAGTACATATCAGCAGAATAACAACTGCCAAGATCATAGAGAAAGAAATTCAGGACCTATTGCATTTACCATTTTATATTTGATTCATTTCTAAGACGATAAAAAGAAAAAACAGATCTGATCAAATACCTTTTCTAAGTTTGTGGTTTCTCCTACTTTTCTTATCCATGACATCATATACAGGAGAAGTAAGGGTGTGTTTTCTTAACAAAAGATCCACCTGTTAAAAGGTCACCACAAGGATTAAAGCCACCAAGTGATGACGTTTCGGTTTTAGGTTTTATACAAAGTTGATATTGATTTTTAGGCCATCACATCTCTCTATTGCTCTTCTAAAAGCATTTGGGCAAAGTAATTGCTACTATTGGTCCCCAATGTGTCCAAAAAACCTGACTTTTACCTACTTTTATATATTCTTGTATCCTCTACGATCCTCCAAACACATACCTTCTCTCAACTTATTTATTCAATTCAGGCAACCTAAGACTGCCATATGTGTGTATATATATATATATGCTTGACTAGCAACTAACCCACAACAGCTTGGCCAAAATAGAAACATATATAGAGCCTAGAAACTCATCCCTAAAGCTGTTTGTGGCCAAGCTATTTGTCTTCCATCAACAACACAGTTGGCGTCATTTTCAGTGTTTTTTTCTCAAGGATGGTTAACGGAAAGACATCGTTTGGTGGACTAGAATGGAGGGTTAATGTTCCCGATGGGACATCCCAGGTTTTAGTGCCAGAATCTGGGGCACTGCAAAGAATATGTAGAGGACTTCAGGGGCTAATTTTAGGATTTATGTTGCATATTTGGAATTTTCTAGAGAAGGCTTGGAATTTAGCTGTATCTGAGCCTAAGAAGGTTATCCATTGCGTTAAAGTAGGAATGGCACTTTCTTTTGTGTCACTGTTCTATTACATGAGGCCTTTGTATGAAGGTGTTGGAAGCAATGCTATGTGGGCAGTTATGACTGTTGTGGTAGTTTTTGAATACACTGTTGGTAAGTACTAAATTCCTTACTGTTTAGTCAATTTCTATGTTCCTTTTGTTTATGTCTTTATTCATATTACAACATGTACAAAGTGAAATTGAATGCCAAAATTTCCTTGAGATTTCATATGTTAGCTTGATTTCCTATTGCTGCAGGTGCAACACTCTGTAAATGTGTTAATAGAGCAACCGGAACATTTCTTGCTGGATCTCTGGGTATTGGTGTTCATTGGGTTGCAAGTCAGTCTGGAGAAAAATATGAACCCGTGATTCTTCAACTCTCAGTTTTCCTTTTTGGTGCGTCGGTGTCTATGCTTATTCATTTTTGTTCTTTTTTTTTGCCGTTAGTAGTAAAATCAAAAGCCTCAGCAAGCCTTAAACACAATTCTAAAAAATCACCTATCTTTCTTGCAGCGGCTGCAGCGACTTTCTCTAGGTTTATTCCATCAGTGAAAGCTCGATTTGACTATGGTGCCATGATCTTCATCCTCACCTTCAGCTTAGTGTCCGTCTCAGGCTATCGTGTGGATAAATTGTTTGAATTGGCCCATTATAGATTATCCACAATTGCCATTGGGACCTCCATTTGTATTACTATAACCATGCTTCTATGTCCTGCATGGGCTGGTGTAGAGCTTCACTCTCTCATCATTCGCAACCTGGAAAAACTTGCAGATTCCTTGGATGGTATGGACATAAAATGCGTGCTCTTAAAGCTACAATTATTGTTTGAATCATCCATACACTTACATGGAAACATATTGGTTAACTTGAAATTCAGGATGTATAGCAGAGTACTTCAAAGATGACAGAATTGTTGATGTCATTGAGGAAGATAAAGGGAAGAAGCTGCAAGGATACAAATGTGTGCTCAATTCAAAGGCAACCGAAGAATCCATGGTACATTGCTGATGGAATCTTATTAATTATCATGTGGTTTAGAATATATGAAGTCCCACTAGCCTAATAATGTAGGGATTTTCGAAATTATGCAGGCCAATTTTGCTAGATGGGAGCCTGCACATGGGCACTTCAACTTCGGACATCCATGGAAACATTACCTCAAGATTGGGGCCTCTGTGCGTAGTTGCGCTTATTGCATTGAGGCTCTCAGTAGTTGCATCAACTTAGAAAGTCAGGTAATGATGTCATGCTGCAATATTTCTTTAATTGGTAAAATGATTTAATTGATCAGAAAATCAGTATACGATATAGCTCAAGACATGTTTGTTCTATTTATTAACCTGAACCTTGTTGTTTTATTCGCATAAATGCAGGCACCTGAGCACCTAAAGAAGCATTTGAAGGAAGTTTGCATGAGATTGAGCTCTTATTCCTCAAATGTATTAAAAGATTTGGCTGTTACATTGAAAACCATGACAATATCATCTGACATATGTCTGTTAGTTGAAGATATGAACTTGGCAGCAAAAGACCTTCAAAATGCCTTGAGAACTTTCCCTAACCAACTCAATATTCCCTCCCCACCACTGGAAACTTCAGCTTCCGAATACACGAAAACAGAGCAGCTTACAAAATCTTCTGTTGCTTTACCCCTTAGGGAGGTTCTTTCAGTGGCCACAATGGCATCATTATTGATCGAAATCACGAGACGAATCGAAGGAATTGTTGAAGCAGTGGAGGAGCTAGCAGCTTCAGCAGAATTCAAGAAAGTAGATGATGAGAAGTCCAACCAGATTAACACATCCACTGATAAACCAACGATGACAGAAAAACAAGATGATGAATCCATGAAGACCCTTCAAATGGTCTGAGTTCGTCATGAAATTCTAGGCTGAGGGTATTTTTTCCATAAGAAACTGTCGACTGTGTACACTGTACAGAACAAAAGTGAGCATGAATAAATCCGGAACCTATTGATTATATCACAGACAATTTCAGATGACACTTAGTTTCAACGACTTTGCTATTCTATTCCTAAGAATATACACTAAAACGATTCGGAAAGAGAAATTAAATGTCTGTGTGTCCATCTGTTATGGCAATAGAAGTCGTCAAGCAATTTAATTAACTTTCAATAGGCTAAACTCAAGATAATTTAAACGATAATAAAAACAAGTTGTAAACTCAGACAGAATCTTGATAACTCTTTGAGGTTAAATCACTAGAGATTTATCTTGAATATCCTAATCCTGAAGTAGATGATCTGCTTTTAACTTAACCGAGATTTAAACAAGAAAAAAAAACTTTCAATAGGCTGGTTTGAGAAATTTCTGTTCATTGCTTGATTGGTATCGAGAAAATGGAATGACAACAGCAAAGCACCAACTCACTATGTGCGTTCCGCACCATGCACTCTAGCTCTGCTGCCTGACAGCAATTTTACATCATAGCATTTGCCAATTTACGTCATGCACAAACCATATAAAAATTATGCTCTTAAACTATAATTTAATTTCTTGGCAGAGGTACACAAGTGGACATATCTATATATATTAGTCTTGCATGAATGCACTCTTAACACAAAAAAATTGTCAAACAAATGGAGCAATCAAGAATTTTTTAAATAAAAAAAGTGCAAGCAATGATATGAAAAACATTATATCACATTAACACAATCTGAAAATCTCTATGAACTTAAATTAACATCCTTTCAAAACTATCTTGTTATATATTTTTTCATGACGGCTCTTCTTTTCAATGAGTGTTCATTTTTTTAACATTTTATTAAATCTAATGAATAGGTTGTCTAGTTTACATTGAACTACAATTCAAATTTTCAAAAAATAGAAAAACCCCAACTAACCAACATTATCCAGTGAATCTGCTTGTAGCTATAAGAATAATTGATGTAAATTATCTATCGCTATGATTTCTCGGATGCTACAGAAATATTCTCACGCTACAATTAAACCAAATCAACAAAATCAAATTTCACTACTTAAAAAAATTTGATTTAATTAACATTTTTATCGTTTCGGTGTCTATTTTACACTATTCAATCATTTAAAAAAATATAAACATGAGCAAGAAGAAAGCGACGCAAATAAGAAAAAAAAATTGATAATTGGTTTAGAATATTATTATTATTATTTTTTGTGCAATTGGTGTCACTTATTTTTTTTATTGGTCATTGATATTTTTTTATTGTTAATTAGCTTGACTTTGAATTTTTTAATTTTTTTTTAGTGCAATTGATATCACTTGTTATTTTTTATTAGTGATTAGCTTAATTTTGATTTTTTTTTAATTTTTTTAGTGCAATTAGTATCACTTGTTATTTTTTATTAATGATTAGCTTGACTTTGAATTTTTTTATTGGTGATTAGCTTAGTTTTGAATATCTACAATTTGAAAATTTTTTTAAAATATTTAAATATTTTCTCATCTATAAAATCATACAAATATTTTGAATAAATAAATTCAATTAAAATCGTCAAGACAAACAAATAATGTTAAGAGATAAAATATGAGATAGCATTATTCTCATGACAACCCTAATTAAAATGTCTGTAAGGGAAAGAGTTATATATCTATGAGAGTTGGGTGTATGAGAGAAAGAAAGAGAGTTATATTAGAAATTGGTCTTTTAAAAGGAATGTAAGTCTAATTAGAATCGTCGAATCAATAAGTTTCAAACGATCTTAGCCGCAAAAAACTTAAGACAAAAAAATCTAACTATTTTTTTTATAGATATATAGATATAGATATCGGTGGAAATATATATAGATAGATATATAGGACGACATATGTTAATGAACCTATATTTTATTAGAGATAATCATTGTCATTAGAGTTTTAATAAATATTAGATATATTTTTTTTATTATATATATAACCAACCAAGTCAATCTCTCTAATGGTTTGAATGAGGATAAAGAGAGATAAAAAGAATGTAGTAGAATCATATAAGAATGTAAATTAATTAGGACCATCGGATCAATAATACTGAATTGATCTAACCTGCGAAAAGTTAAAGACAAACTAAGCTAATTACTTTATTATATAGATATACTAGCAATGTATGACAATATTTTTTTTATAAAAAAAATGTGAATTATATGTGTAATTAAATTAAATAATAAATTAAAAGTCAACTAATTAATTTATATTCTAATTATTATTAAATTTAATTATTAACTTATTTTATAAAACTTTGAGTACCTAATCTGCCATTTATTTAGATATCTTTCTGACATTTTTAGGCATTTGTACATTAATTATATTATAGAATTATTTTTTAAAATAGATTGATTAGATCACTTATAATATTACTAGTCATTACCCGTGTCTGAAGGCACTATATAACAAACAAAAAATATATTAAAAAAATTGTCCAAATTTAAAAGGAATAACCTAAAAATATTTATATCAATTCTTCTTTTAAAATGATTCGAAATATATTATTAACCATATCCTTCATATTAATGAAATTGCCATAAAAATATATAAAAACAACACCATATATATAAATGTCTCTAGAAAAATAAAAAACTAACATAACAAATTGAAATTTACAATCTTTAAGTAATAAATAAAATTTTGTTTATTTACGAGACTCACAAATTTATTTTCTCTACTACCACTCAATCCAATAATACAACATAATTATAAACAGAACCACCATATTTCTAATTCACTCTATCCCTATATAATAAATACCTCAAGCAAAAAAAAAAATACTAACAGAACACAATTAAATTCACAATTTTTAAGTGATAAATAAAATTAATCAAATCTTGCTCATTTATAAAATTCGTAAATTTATCACCACCATCACTATTCAACCCTAAATAAAACAGTATAATTATAATTTTCATCACCAAATGTCCAATCTTTCACATATAAATATATACAAAAACACATTCATACACATTTTATTTTTTTGTTACCAACAAATCATCCTAACCAATAACTGTTCAAATTTTTAAGATAAAATAATAATAAATTAATATTTAATTAAAAACATATGGTAAAAATCACGAATATTCCCTGAGTTTTGACAATATTACAAGGACACCTCCTGATATTTTATAAATAACACGAAAACCCCCTGAGTTTTGAATTCATTCCACAAAAACCCCTTATGTCTCCCTTCAGTCAATGTTGCTAACAAAAGTTGATAATTTCATCCCAAAATTTTTTATTATTTTTACAATTGCCCTTTTCCAAATTTAGTACCAAAAAAATTTAAAAGTTTATAAATCAAATAAATTTTGATTTAGTATCTAAAAATTTGATATAATTTAGTACTCCAAAAAATTGATTAAATGAATTTCAATATTAATTTGATAACAATAAAATTAATTTGATATTAATTCGATAAAGTTTAATATAAATTAGAAAAAATTAAATTTCAATTTTTAATAACATTATATATTAATTTACAATTTAAGGTTCATTTTGTGTGAAATATTATTTGGTGTTTTATAGTTAATGTGTTTTTTTTATTTATATTAAGTGTTATTTGCAAATTAAGAAACAAGTGTCAAAATACATGTCGTCGTATATATAAAAATTTTGAATTAATTTCATGGAATAAATAATTACATAAAATATAGTTTCATCCGTTTTATGAAGTAAGTAACAATAAAAACAACACCAGGAAAACTAAAAAAAAAAGATAATAGTATGAGAGAGAAAGAGTAAGATAGATAAATAGAGAGAGTTATATGAGACTCTTAGACTTGTAAAAGAAATGAAAATTCAATTAAGATCATCGGATCAAAACAAATTAAATTACGAAAAGTTTAAAACAAACAAATGTAGTTAATTTATTATATAGATTATTGCATACCAAAAAAATAAAATATAATATATATTTGACCACACAATTCAATCTGGTAAATAGATTTGTATAATAATTTATCATATATATATATATATAATTTTACTTTTTCATGTAGATATAGAAAATTATATATAATTATACAAGAAAATTATACATACTACTAATAAATGAGTTTGAAAAAATTTAAAAATTTTTATAAAAAAGTTCAAAATAAGCTGAAAGTTAAATAGGAGTAAAAAATAAAAATTAGATGAAAGTACAAATATTAGTGGGTATAATTGATTTTATTATAATAATTAGAGTTAAAAGAAAAAATTAAATTTTTTTTTTATATTTATAAATAATATAGATAGATATATCAATCCGACATCCAATCCAATTGTAAAAGTCAAAGAAAATCGACAACCCAAGACACTCATCCATGTTAGCTTTGACTGTTTTACTGCCACCACTTTTTTTCGGCTCTTCCGTTCATCCAAAGAACCAGGTGCAAAAGTGGAACATCTTTTTAAGTTAGTATTTGTTTTTGGAAAATTAATAGATAAGAATATAATAAAATCACAGCATATCATCAATTCCATTGTCGTCCAGCGGTTAGGATATCTGGCTTTCACCCAGGAGACCCGGGTTCGATTCCCGGCAATGGAATTTATATTTTTTTTTTCACCTTTTATGATCAAAGATCAAACATCCAAGACAACAAACAGCGTTGTAAAACACTTCTCGTTAAATTCAACCACACAAGTGTTTGTTCAACCCTTCACTTCTGCACTGACACCCCACCCCACCTTCCTCTCCCAAAATCAATCCCCGACCCTTTCATCTTGACATTGAAAAGTATATTTCATTGCTAATTAGTTGTCAGAGGTATTATTATTTTCTGTTCTTGATGATCTCCAATGTGTCAAGAGACTAGATGACCTCGAATTTTTTTTTTTTTTTTTAATTGATGGTCTCCAAGTCTACATCTACATATGGACAACTGAGTTTAAAATATCCGAATCAGTCACGTGAAAACATTACTGCCACCTTTCAATCTATAAGGCTATTGGGCGAACAACCAAAAATTAACGGTCGGTCAACGATAAACTTTTCCTTCCCCTTTTCAAAAAAAAAAAAAAAATCCCGGCCCCCCTCATCCCTTACTCTCGATCCCATGATCCAAGGCATTCTGAACCCTCGTGTTTTTTTTTCAATCCCTTGGACTTCCGTGAATCACTTGAAGGCCCTCAAAGGCTTGCAGAGGATTGATCTGCCATAGCTCAGAGAATCCACTCATTATATAGCAAAACTATGTTGAGGTACAGAAATTTTATAAACAAATAAAAGCTGTATTATGCAACCAAGTAATGAAGTTTACACAACGCAATCACCAAAATAGTACATTTTGCCTCCTTTAAACCTTTGGGATCGGACCAAGCTTGATTCTAAATAAAAAAAGGACAAAACCAGACCCAATAGTTGGCCAACTGAAAAATGGCAGATGGAATAAAATGTCATGATGTCTTAAATACAGCGAGTAAGATTGAAAGGTTCATCATCGCATGGACAAAATCGAACTAGACGTACAGGAAAACCAAAATGTGAAATACCCAGAAAGCAATGGTGCCTGATCAGGCGAGACAGCCATATGAACCCTGAATAGAAGCATAAAAGATGCGTCCAAGACAACATTTAGTCCTCACGCCACTGTCTGCCACAATCCAAGCACTCGTAAAATGTTGTCATGGGCTCATCAGCTGACCTAATCTGCATTTGATAAAAAGCAGCCTTCCCAAAACCACACTTCGGGCACGTTGCTGTCAAAAGAAAGAAAGAAAGAAAGAAAAGGGGGAAGGGGAGTGCAAAACTGTAAGCTGCCGTCCACAGAAAGTAGCATCAAGAATGACACAAACAGTTACTACTTACCAATACTTTTCTATGTAGAATTGCACTAGAACCAACAACTGAACTAGAACCAGGATCTCAGCCATGCAAATTAATACTCTAAGGATATAACACATACAGAATTAACAAAGACAACAAATTATTCCAATGGTGTATAGTGAAAACTGCAGAATAAGATTTTTCCAATGTTAGTGAGTGAAGCTGGTGTTCCCTAAACTTTGGCTCAAAGGCCTGCCTGAAATCAATTAAAATAATCCGGAACTATTTGGCTCAGCAACAAAAGCACTTATAACATAATTCTAGTCTATTATAGACTTTTTGGATGTCCCCTTATCCCCATAGAACCTTCATCTTAAATCATAAAACTCCTGTTGTTAAAAATGGAAATACCATCTCAACGCTCTTTTTATCTTCAAGTTGTGCTACCTCTTACTCTATGTTTGATTCCAATCTATCACCAGTTTTAGACCATGAGAGACCAGGTTACTAAGCTGCATATGAATAGGTTCATTTGTGGTAAAGATGCATTCGGTAGATGTGGACCTAGCTCCTTTCATACTCTGTTTGATATGCAAAACTGTAATAGAATAACTCAACCGTATAGTTCCATTTGATCAAATGAAGAATTTTGTACCATACTAAAAAATGATTAAATGCGGAAATAAAAATGCAATAATACAATGGTTCTTTCTGGAAATTGGATAGTTTCCACTCCAGATAGATACAAAAATAACCTGGCATGTCGGGAATTTAGATGATAAAGTTGAGAGTCGGGAATTTAGATGATAAAGTTGAGAACGATAGTTTCACCTAGAAAAGTCACAAATTCTGTGGCCCCAACCTCATTAAGAGGAGAAGAAAAGAAGAAAATTAATATTTACTTAATTAATTCAAAGTCACATCAACAAATAGCACTGTCCAACTATGACCCCAATTTCAAACAATGGCAATGTCAAAACTTTTTTTAATAACTCCAATACGGAGAGGACTGACATAAAACAATATTCAGAACCAAGTTTTAATCAACACAGGCTATCAGTGGGATTCGGTGCAATCTATCATCTAGAACACTAACATAACCCACCAACCTTGGCCTAATGGAAGACTGGGGGAAAAAAAAGAAGAAGATATAAATAAGTAGCAAAAACACAACAACAACAATAAGAAGAAGAAAGAAATTAGTACATCTATTTTTGAACCGTCATGGAGACAACTATTAGAAACCTCAATATGATAGAAGCCGGCATTTAAAAAATGGATCAACAAGGTGATGGGCTATTAAGTTATTGTAGAACTTAAACAGGGTGGTCTATCTTATTATAAAAGGCATTAGTATAGTTATGTACATGTTTTAGATTTCGGAAATGAGATCCCCTCCAATACATTTTTTCTTCATTGCCCTTCTTGGTAGATCACCAAACATGAACTCAAGTGGGATCCATTGTAAATAAGTGGATCCCTTTAACATATGGTGTGATTTAGTAAGGATGGAAATGACGAGAAAAGTATTGGAGAAGAACTAGATCCCGATTTCAAGGGGAAAAACGAGTTAAGTACATGGTTACACACTTACAGTATAAAGACCAGGGCCCATTTCGTATATGTTACCACAACTCATGATGCTCAATCCCAAGAAATAATAAACAAATAATTTAGAACTCCAAGTTACCTTTCATTTGACACAAAATATATTGCAAAATCACACACCACATGCGAACAATGTAAAGATATCAACAAAAAAATGTTCCATAGATCATCAATCACATAGCACAGAGGAGAATACACCTTCAGTTGTTGGCCAATTCTTCTTGTCATCTTCTGAGAAGATGGGATCTAGTGCTTTCTTGGCTAAGTGTTGCTTTCTCTTTATCTTAACCTGCAAAAGGGTACATGCAAACAAACACAGATAGAGAACATCACAATAATGTTCTAAATGGAGCAAGGAAAAAAATATGAGTGCCCAATAAACACAACAATTTATTGTAGGGTTTAAAGAGCGAGTTACCTTGCTGTCTATCTGACACACATATTCACACGTCAGGCAGAAGAATCTGCCAAGACGGTCCATATGAGGCAGCTCATACCGCAGTAAGGTCCCGCAAGTTGGGCAAAATTCCATGTTCCAATAACCTTGTAGCAAAACCCGTGAGATTTAATTTTTTTCAGTGTTCGCATATGGTGTATTAATGTTGCCAAAGAAATAAAAAAGGTCATTGTGCAGAAGTGAAGTAATAATAAGTTCAATTTTTAGAGAGTTTCTGGAAAAAAGAGGCAGGGAAATGTTTCACACTCCAATGACGAATTGTTTCTTATGTGAATAAGGACTCATACCTCATGGGCATGCATTTTCTAAAGGAATGGATAATAAGTGTAAAGAAAGCAGATCAATGCCACTGTGAAATGAATTGCATTAACGGAAACGACTAAAATACAAAGCCGTTAATCCTAAATCCCAAACACTTGGGATTTATTGTGGTATTCAACAATACGAATCTATTAGGCAAAACATGCAACTACCAAGTAAGCTAAACGCTTAAAACAACCTAATCTACCACCAGATAAAGAGATCCAAAATCAAAAAGCTACTCTAGACCTCCTTCAGATAAACATTGAACATGAGTTTATAGCTAAGCTCCATGACTGTTCAACATACAGCAAAGACTTATAGAAATCAAAAAAGATATGTCCCGCTATAGATGCCTAGATAGCCAAACACATTGAAAAGAAAAGATCGTAGCACTACATCCAAATAAACTTAAAGCATTTTATCAAACACCTTACATGCATATTAATTTATAACAGATTACTCTTAAAAAAAACCCATTCAATAGTCAACAATTACAGATTATGATTATTAATATACAACAAAATCATAAAGCTTTGATAGGTTACTTTAAACTTGATACAGTAATATACATATACACATACAAATGAATGAATCTATATAATAAGAAACGCGCGCTTACAACACAGTTTGTACGTACGAAAATTTGGGGTCGATCCGAGGACGCTAACAGAAATTTCAGAAGCCCCAAAACCTCGGTGATTAGAACATACGAATCATTGACTCGTCCTGTTCTTTGTCCGCATAAAGGGTTCAGAAAATATAAATTTCTCTTTGATACTTCATTTTTCCTGAATTTTCGCTTACGCCCTCTTAAAATTATGTATTTTCATTATTCCCATATGTTTTCATTATTACCGTTTGTGTCCAGCACTTTGTGAGGAGATTCTCTTCATTAGGTTCTTGCACACGCGCACTCAATATGTTTTTGAATAAAGAGTTTGAAGAAAAATGAGGATTTGATAGGTTTTATTTGAACAATGTTATTAAGATTTAATTTATCGGTATAATTTATTGACCTAATTTACTATGATTTTTGAATTAATTGTAAGTCTCATCAAAAATTAAAACTTAATATTGAACTAATGATTTTTATGAAATCACATCATTACGTCAATAAATTAAATTAAAATAACATTATTTGTTTTATTTAGTCTTTTCATTGATTCATGGGTTAGGCAATGAGTGCAAGTCCTAGGGTAGTGTCCAAGCAACCAAAGATCAAGGGCATCTTTGAGTGTGAATATTTCTATTCAAAGGCATCAACATCGCGACAGTAGGTTCTCTTACTATAATTTAATGGAAAAATTTATAATACAAAAAAAAAAAATTCGGTACTGTACCACGGGTTATAATTGTTTAAAAAAAAGTCACGATTGATTATAAATACATCATTAATTCTCATTATCAATTTTAACCTTCAATAATCGATCATGTCTTTTAAAATTATAACTTATATATCAAAAAAAGTTATAACTTAATTTTAAAAAAATATAACTTTTGGTATGATACTGCCGACGAAAACGTAGCATTCCTCTAATTTAATACATGGACTTGTTATAAGGGATTATAATACCTTATTGTTTAGAGAAATGCTCAATTGTTTAATTGCCTTCTACCCTATTGCTTGTTTGGAATCTTCACGCAATCATTTACTTTAAATTCCTTTCGCTTGATTAAAGTTCTCCATAGTCATCGTTGCCACGCTTCCTAGTTGAATCTTTTGTTGCAAAAAATCTTGTTCCAGATTCATATAATTAGTTGATTTCCCTCCAAGTTATTGGAGGAGAAGCATTCAGTTGGCCTGTCTTCTCACTTGCAATCGGTTGATCTTTCGTTATAAGCATTTTCTTCAATGGCGGATGTGATCGGGCCACGGTTGTACAGCTGCTTCAAGTGCAGAAACCATGTCGCCCTTCACGATGACATTGTATCGAAAGCTTTTCAGGTGAAGTTTATTTAGTATTATGATGATTCCTCTCCTAGTTACCGAACCACTTTTTCTTATACTAGCCTTTGCAGGCCAAAAATGGCAGAGCCTTTTTGTTCTCGCACGCCATGAATGTTGTTGCTGGACCTAAAGAGGACAGACAACTCATCACTGGTCTTCACACAGTTGCTGACATACACTGCTCTGATTGTGGTGAAATGCTTGGTTGGAGGTATGAAAGAGCTTACGAGGAATCTCAGAAGTACAAGGAAGGAAAAGTCGTGCTTGAAAAATTCAAGATTGTCAAGGAAAACTGGTAGCCTCTCCTCCGACGCGGGGGGCCAAGTTTGCTGGTAATCTGGAATCACAACCTGTATATATTGTACACAGAAGCCTCGTCAATTTAATGATTCAACCTGTGCAGTATAAAAAGAGAGAAGCAAAATGGTTAATGATTAAAGTCATTGATTCTCATTGTATATTAAAATTGATGTATTGTAGTGTAAATAAACTTGTGGGTGCTGTTATCCAACGATGACTTTTGATGACCTTTGTGCACCTTTTTCTGTTCTGGTTTTTATTTAGAGAGAGACTCAAGAACTTCACTGGAGATTGTTCAACTTCACTGAAGATTATGCCTCCCTAATGAATGGTCAGCCACTACTTACAATACACTTACTTCCAAAGCAACTACACTCCCACTTACCTTAAAGAGCTTCCCAACCCCTAAACCCATCTTGGTCAACAGCAAATGCGTCTCGGGTAGTATTGAACCTCTTGAGACCGTGCTCTTAAATAAACAAACAGAAAGGAAACAAAACCTGGGTGAGCCGTGTGAAAGCGCGTTGCTCGTGATGGCTGGGAAGATAGACATGGATGGATACCTTTGTTTTGGAGCTCTGCATAGGATTCCGGCTTCTGGAGCAGACCAAAAGTGGGTCGACTACATCACTTCAAATATAGGATATGAGAAAAGCAGATTGAGATGCTTGGGTTCATGAAGGGGTCCTTAACCTTCCTTGTACATCTCATGGTCACAATCTGCCCTGGATTGATGCTAGGCACTTGATGGAAAGTCGAGAGACGAGACAATCCGCACCCGAGCTGGTTCTGGTAATGCAATTATCGCGTTAATTTAGTCTCTTCCTAACGTTCGATATTTATGGCCAACAATAAGTAGATCTGCAATGGCTTATACAGGAAAAAGCAATGCTTTCTAGGGATCACAACCACAGTTGGTCTGCTTCATAGTCATCACGCACACATCGAATTATGTATATAGAGAAAAACAAGTTCATTTGAGAAACCAACAATCCCTTGAATTCCCATCCACCATTCCCTAACCTTGATACAGGACTGATCACTACCGAACGTCAACTGGAAAAAGCAGACAAAGTATATCAAAAGGAACTTTGACATCCACATGGAAGTGCCCTCTGCATATTCACCTCAAACTAAAAGAAATACTTAATTTACCTTGTCCATTTTAAAGCGTCATAATATTCACAATAGAAACAGAAAATACACTGAAACTTGTAACCTAGAAACCAATTCAGGCAGTTGAAACAATTCAAACAGGTGAAGCAAGAGCATCTGCCAACAATCTCATATCACTACAAATCCATAAACTTAAAATACAAAGATACTAGTAAAAAGTTGAACAATCTTCTTCCTCCAAATGATGTACCTAAAGTAAAAGCAGACATTCAAGAAACTGGAACGACCAACTTGAGCACCATCTTCCTCCAACATGATAGATACGCTCTCATGTTCTTGACCTTCGCACAGGTGACCGGCTATAAAGGGTAGGAAACAGAAAAAAGTATGTCAACAACGAATGACAAACAAATTGAATCCAAATAAAACACACAAATGAAAAGCAAACACATACCTGTGATATCTGCCATATTCAGGACTCCTGGGCCTGTCATATGACGGGCCATTGTACTTATTATCATAAACTGGGCTGCGAGCACGCCCATAATCAGGACTTGGTCGACCCCTGCGATACACTGGACTCGGTGACCTCCTATAAGGACTATCCCCACGCCTACCGTAATCTCTTCTGGGACTATTATTATATCTGTCTCCCCTCTCGCCATCATCCCTCAAAGCATACTCTACAGACACCACCCTGTCCAATAACTTGCTGCAAAAAGGGACCAACTCATGGTTCATCAGGCCACACATTTAAAGAACAGTGCAATCAGTGTTCTTAAAACGGTCATAATAAACAGTTATTTACCTCATGTGTGTGCACTCCAGAGCCTTTGTAGCGTCTTCCTGTGTTTCAAACTGCACAAATGCAAAGTTCCGACGAATTCTGACGTGAAGAACCTTCCCATATGGCTCGAAGTGTCTTTCTATATCGCGGACCCTTGTACGAATGGGATCAAAGTTTATCACAAACAAAGTTTTCGTTGGTCTCTGATTTGCCGTCATCTTAGAGCCATCCTGATGCTTGACACGTTCACCCTGCCAGAATTAAAGTAGAGATAAAAAAATCTTCCATTCAGAATAGAAACAAATGGACTCTGAGCATTTGTCAACAGTCTATTTACAGCATTGAAGAAATGAATGAAGAAGAATGCCGCTAATATGGAAACAACATACCCTAGACCATTCCACTGATAGCCTCCGTCTATCATATCCAAATGGTGTGTCATCAAGACAACGAATGGCGTCTTCAGCATCACGCTCATCCTCAAAATAAACAAAAGCAAACCCTGCAGTAATAAAACACAATTAGCAGGCTACAGATATAACAATCGAGATTGGAATTTGACCTGCACAGCTGGTAATATATCAGCTAAATCGATTCTTTTTCCTGACCACAACTAAATAAAAATACGACACCTGCATATATGTGAAAGGCTGATGAACAGAAGGAGAAGGAAGTAGAGGCCTTGTATGATGAACTAAATCATGATGATGATGATGGCAAATTAAAGGTTTAAATCCAAAGTCTCAGGTCTGATTATCATTGCTAGGCATGCTTCACCATTCTCACTGCAGGAGTTCAGTAATGGCATGATAGAATTCATTGAGCCCCTTAAGACCAGTGGTAGAAGGCATGGCATGATGAATTGACAGATCCCACCCTGACCATTCTTGTGAAATGGCAACCTCGGGCAGTGAGGTAGTAAGTGACAGAAGATCGAGTGATTTAAATGCAGAACAATTCCATCTGTAAGTAGAAGGAAGGAGGCAGGCAGATATTTTCCTTTGCATTAGAAGTTTTTTGCATAGAAGTTGGCGAGCCAAGATAGATGATCAATTTCCCTTAGTCGAAGTTCCTGCGTCAAAACAAACACTTAAACATGGAAGCCTTCCCCAAAGAAATTTCAAATTTTGGGCTGCCATTTCAACTCCAGTCACATATATTGGATATACGCACTAAATAATCAGCCATTGTGGTTCAACTACCTATTCACCAGGAACGCTATACTTGGCTGCCTGGTATTACGAGGCCTTAAAAATGTACCCTAGATTAACCTAGATGGATTAGCTGGACAAAATACAAGGTCTAGAAAGTAAGTTGCTAGGCAAAGGCAGCTAACCATCTCAAACAAAGCAGAAACACCCAACACTCCCAGAAAATCTGATATTTTAAGGAAGAGAGAAATTAAAAACAGAAGAAAATAAAAGGAGGCAAAGAAAAAAGGCACTCACAATTAGAGGGTTAAAAAACTAAGAGAAACGGGAAATTGCAAAACCATTGGTTAAATATCATTAGGAAAACTAGTATATAATCTATGAATGATTGAACCAACACTTGCAAAAAAATGACGTAATATCTAGCCAAAAAAGAAAATTATGTGGCCCAAACAAACTAAACAGAAACAGTAAAACTCGTCAACCAATCGACCCGCGTGTTAGCATATATAAAGAATGTAACAAATACACCTCACAAGTTATTTTCCCCAAGGTCCACGGTCCCTTCAATAGCTGCATAACTAGTGAGATGAAAAACATCCGATAAACTCAAATTTTGAGACAAATTAATGCATAGGCTAGAATACAACACATTTCAAAGTAGTATACCAATCTAGGTCCCTTCAACTCAAACCACAACATATATAAAGGTATATCAACTTTATCAACAGACCCCAAACAGGGCACAATATACCTGGGATAGTTTAATTTGTTTATGCAAGTCAAGAAAACATAAGTTTGTCTCGTTGGTGTCCCCAAACCTTATTGTAACCCGCCAAAAACAATAGTCCATAATCTACAAATTAAGGATCCCTAATTCCCTATATCTGTTACAACCCTCCCCCACTTTTTCCCTCTTCAACATATTTTTTTTTTTTTGGTTCTCAGTGTACGTGACCTTCAACTAATCTCCACCCGGTCCATTCAAAGGCAGGCCATCCAAGGTAGGGACTAGAATATTCAAGAGAATAAATCTCTCAAGACTCTCACGGTGTCACCCCAAGGAGTTGTCTAGGTTAACAGCTCCTCCTTGTTCTCATTTGAGCTACCTTGGGGTTGGGGTTTCTTTACCAGGGTATTCATCACACTGATTGAGTGCACCTTTTCATGTCTACTACATATTATAGGACACAAATAAATTAAAAGGTGAGACCAGAACAACAATTATAACCAATAATAATTTAAAAAATCAAAGAAGAATTAGAAGTTATATGTATACCAGATTTCATGTCAACGCGCTCGACCCTCCCGTATTTAGAGAAGAGTCGCTCCAGCTCCGATTGGCGAGTTTCATACTCGAAGTTACCCACAAAAACCGGCCTCATCTTCAAACCTGTACCCCTAAAACAAGTTCTTCAAAATAACCTAAACAACCAACAATTTCAGACAAAAACAAACGGTGGTTAATTCTGTTTGGTTGCTGAGAAAGTACCAGAAAAATACAACTTTGAATCTCAATTTAGGATTACGACGGGGCAATTCTCTTTACTCTTGCAGAGTTATCAATTTCTAAATACCGAAACTATTATGAAAAGAAAAAGAAAAAGAAAAATCCGAAACATCCTTTGCAAAACTGAAGATTACGTAAAATCCTAGTAATCAAACGATCAAATACTGAGAAAAAGTGAAAGGAAGAGAGAGAAGGAATTCGAGGGCTTAAAGAAACGCACCTTTGCAACTGGATTCGAGGAGAGAAACAACCCGGAAGTATATGAGAAAGCTGTCGGGGGTTAAATAACCAAACAAAGCCCTAATTTTGGCTGGATGGTTTATTGTGATACGTGGCTTTATTCCAGCCGTTGGATAGTCGATTTAGGTACGCGTTACTGGATATCTGTTGTTTTTTGTGAGCTTTGGGCCTCAGATTAGTTGCAGAAATAAACTTGTGGCCCTGGCCCATCTACATTATTACATGGGTTAGGTAGAGGCCCATATGATTTGGACCTGATAAGGCACCAGCCCATCTAGATAGCCTAGTTCAGGAGTTTTGAGGGAATTCTGCGGTCCAGCTTAAACGTGTCAGGCTGGAAAGATGTCACCGTTAGAATCGATAAATTGGAAGGGAGTCCATCAAATTGGAATTAATTATAAAAAAGTACACAAAAAAAAATTTAGAGGAAAAAAATTCCTTAATTTTAGTTCTTATTTGTGTTCAAGTAAATAATTTAAAATTTTTGGATTTTTTTTGACATTTGTGTCTTCTCTCATGTGATTTATTTTTGAAAACTAATTTCTTTTTTCAGATTATATATATGCATTAAAAATCTACTAATTTAATGAAAGATTTAATCCTCCTATTTTTTTTAAGGATAAATGTATGCATTAAAAATCTTCTAATTTAATGGAAGATTTGATTCTTTGATTGTTTTGTTTATTTTGAGGATAAATTAGTTTGTTTAAATTTTATATTTTGCAATAATATCTTTTGTTATCTTATTCTTCTTTGGCCTGAAAGTCATTTATCAATGCAAGTCTGAAAACATTATTTCATTCTTATTGTTTAATCTAAACAATTACAAGATTTGAATTAATAACTCCATTATATTTATATCTGTCATTTTAGAGGTGATCTTTTTTTTTTAATATGCGAACACTATAACAGTGTAACATAACAATGTAATAAGTCACTTACACAAAATATTGTACTATTACATTTTGTCAAACATATATTTGCATATAAATTCATTCAAACAGTCCGTCTCTGTTTTGAATTTGTTACCACATTTACAAAATCACTAAACACTGTATTTATTACACTGTTTTTGTTATATTATGAGAAAAACACAGTTAACAGTTAAGAGATGTACACAATTTATTCACACACAATGAATTAATATGACAAAAACATCGTATTTCACACAGGCCAACGACCAACTTTTAACAAATAGTTATAGTTTTCAAATGTCGAAGTTCGTATGTATCTTCAAATGGCAAACAAATTTTCAAAAAATAAATGTTGTTGACAATTTTACATCAAATGGACTGAACAATTAGTTTTTCCTTCAAAAACAAAACCCTATAGATGTTCAAGAGACAATTTTAGGACTTATCGTTGATGAATATGAAGTTGTTCTTGGAGAGTAAAAAGAAGTCTAAACGTTTTTCGAAGATGAATCGCTTCACAAATAAATATTCTTAAATTTCAGTTGTTAATTTGTGTATCTAATTAATTAATTAATTAAGATATATTCTTAAAACCGTTTTAGGAAAGTAAATTTTAGGATGAAGAGATGAAAATATTCGAAAATAAATGTCCCTAAATTTCAGCGGTTAAAATAAATTTCTTGTTACAATTTTTAGGAAAGAAAATTTTATAAAATGGGCAATTACGCCTTTATTTTTCAGCAGTGTACTTCTTTTCAAAATATTTTTTATATATATTTTTTTATAATTATGTCTAATTTGGTATATCAGCTTCCAAATGACCCATTTAGAATAGGCTCAACTTAGCTCAAGTCAACTCGAAAGATGGGCCGGGCAACTGATCCAAATTCATAATAATCATTTAGTCAATTGGGCTAGGATTCCTCCATTGGTGTGTAAATTGGATTTAATTCCAGCAGACTTTTAGTATATATAAAAATCTTCCTTTTTTTTAACAAAATTTTTGGATGCGATCCCCATGTTGGTAGGGTCCGATAGTTATTATATAAATACGAGAGCCACAAATCTCAGTGGTTGAATTTTTTGGTGTTGGTGACGGCTACGATTCCGATCATTATGGACCGTTACAAGAGCTTTTGTCATCGAAGAAACTAGCAATCTTTCGGACCTTCACGAAGCAAGAATTAGAGAAGTTTTTCTATAGCAAGGGATTGGACAGCAAGTTTCTCAGAGAAAAAGTTAAATTGTGATCAGATTAATATTCCTAAATGGACTAAACGATGGCAACACAACTGGATATAAAACTATGATTTCTTTCATTGTTTTTGGTTTCTTTCGTTACTTTTGGAAATTGTACGTATATATTTATTACGTACATGATGTGTATCTGTTTGGCAATTTATATTTATAAAGAAGATTGATGTACATGTCTAACAATTAATGCACCTGTCTGAAGGTTTGTATTTATAGAAAAGATTAGTGTTCTTGTCTAACAATTAGTGCATACCTGTTATTTTTTTTTTCTCAAAAGTATATATATATTTTTAATTGCGTACCTATTTTTTTTAGCATACTTTTATTAAGTTCAAAATTACTCCGAGGGCCGAGGTGGCATGGATATGTTCCCTTAAATGAATTAATTACAGTATATTCAAAATTTAAAAAAAATTTAAGAAGATGCTAAATTGAATTTTTGAATTCATAAGAAACATTTGAATTCAAAAAAGAAACCTCTTTGCTGCCTTGAATAGTGTCTTTCTTCCTTAAAACTCTCAGTTGGCGTCGATCATAGAAGAGACGAATTCTTGCTTCATTAGGAAAGAAATCTGCGTATGTTGTTCATCGTACAGGCAAACAAAATTAAATTATTATATGTACATAAATTAAAAATTAAATATTATGTTTCATTCATAAAGGGGAGATTACATATGTAGTTCATTTGTTTTATATTTAAAAAAAAAGATAATTTTTTAAGGTCATTTGACTCTACCTCAAGCTTCTTCTCTTTTTGTAGTTTTTTTGTTGAAGGATTTCATCATTTTCTTTGTTGGACATATAGAGTTTGGATTTGAGACGATCAATATCAACTTGCATGTGATCTTGTTTTGCGTGGGCGTTGTCTAGAAAACTTAAAAGTATCTGTATGTTAGTTTGTGTTTTTTTTTTGCCTTGATTGTTCCATTTTTTTGTGTGTTTTTTTTTTTAATTTTGGATACACTATTTATAGAAGTATTTTCTATAGGGTAGATGAAGAGGTTTAAATGAATATTTATTATGGTGTTAATTTCATAATTAATTGCAAAGACGTATGTTCAGACGTTTGGTCTCAATGTATCTGTTATAGAGATACATTGAGTGCAACCATTATTAGTAAACATAACTTAATGTACCTTCAAATTTTTAGTTAATTGGTACATTAGTCGAGAACATGTCATTTTTTTAGTGTATCTATCTACGCACTTGAAGACACTATTAGCTTGGGTCAAAATTCGTTGTCCAAACGAATAACATAGTTACCAGCTATTTTCAAACACATAAGAAGCTTAGCCTCAAGTAAGCAAGGTGGCAAGACTTATTGGCCAACTCAGCCCCAAGCAAGCAAGGTGGCAAGATTTTTTGGCTAAGTTTCTATATGTGTATCTCGTATAAGACAGGACACAAATTTAGTGGCTGATACAGTAAGTCGGAACGCAAAGCTTGTGAGCTTGAAGGTACAAGAGGAAACTGCTATGAGTCATTTTAGGAGCACCATTTTCTTGGCTTGTTCAATATTCTTAATGCTTATGCCTATTCGTTCTAGAGGATAGAGGCAGAGCAAGCTACTCTAGCTATCTAGACAGAGCAGCACTTAGCTCTGGACGAAACACTCCCTGAAAGGGGAAAGTAACGAACCAACTTTGAGAAAGAGTTCCAAAAGAAGCTAGCCATAGGACATCTGATTAATGATGCCTTTGACGGATGGGTTCTAGAAACGCTGATCAATGAGGGAATCTCATGCCTAAGGTAGTCCAGTGTCCTTCTCCAGCCATGTGGTATTCACAACGTGTGTTTGAGATGAAATTCTTGGGTGGTGGATTTGGCATCACCCTAAGTGGTATCGGCTTGATGAGGTTGTTGCTACCAACTCTAGGAGCAGTTGTGACAAAAGGGCTGGTAATGAGTCACACTTTCGGTGTGCTCCTCTCTTCATGGCGATGGATTGAGCTTGGGCGGTTGCCTTGGTTGATTGGACTTGTTGGCGAATTGTATGAATCGGTCGAATCCTGGAGAAATTCCCTTTGGGAGATTGCTCAATCATGATAACCTGTACTTGTCTATCATCTTGATTTATCTCTTGCTTTCCAGGTGTATGCAACGTTTGGTCGGGAGTCTAAGGCCCCCATGTTCGCATCTGACATTTTGGTCACGTTTCTTTGGAATCTAATTCGGGATTGAGGACGAAAGATGCAATAACAATTGTAGCCATGAAATAGGCAATAGGTTGAACTTCCTTTGTTCCCATCTCCTCCTAGCCCTAACTATATATCATTGATGAATTCCTTAAAGATCACCAGAAAGATATGTTTGTTTTGGATTGACTTTCCTTTCTCTAAGGAGCTTCTTAGGATTGATTCTCATTCCGAATAGGGATTTTTAGTCTTGTCCAACAGCTACATAGACATAATACAATGTCTCATTCTAAGAGGTGGCCCTTTAGTTCATTTGTTTTTAGTTTAATATGGTATTGATAACAACAGTAATTTTTTCAGTTTATCGGTCTCCGATTATAAGTTCTTGTTGACCACGTCTTATAAGAATCATATTATTTATTGCTTTTAACCTTGTTTGTATAGGCTCGTGCACATATTTACGTTCAATAATTTTAAGGGCTTTCACTTTGACACGTCTTCGCTTGTGATCACTTAGAGCTCCTCTTGCATCAATAGGTACTCTCAACGCGTCGAGTTGGGCCGGGCAGCCCCAAATTCATAATAATTATATATGGCTAGTTGAACTCGAGACTAGTCATTTTCATACTTTTTTGGTAATTATTATTATCATGTTTAACATAAATTTTATTCTTTATTATTTAAAAACTGTAATATTAGTATGTATGTGTCAAGATGACTCATTTGTTACATGTTCCATGTCAGTGGCGTAGCCACTTGAGGGCCAGGGCTCACCTTGAAACTTTTTAAAAAAATTATTATTTATATATTTTTAAATTTTTTTGATATATTTTATGGTGCCCACGTTATATATTTTATGTCTAATCTATTAATTTTTTATTTTGTCAAGTAATATAGACAAATACTTAATTAACTATGAATTTTTTGACACATTTTATATTTTACGGATACATCTAGACAAGTTTTTGATATGTCTAATTTATTTTTTGAAGTTATAAATATTGTGAGGATTAAATTACATAATCAAAAGAGTGAGTTAATTATTTATATAGAAAAAATTATTCTCTATAATATAGATAATAAAGTTATTGTATGAAAAACTTGTTAATAAGTATAATTAAATTGTTTACCTTGAGTAAAACTTTTGGCCCTAACCTAACACCGTTCCATACGTCTTATAATTACCCAAAGAAAGTTACGTTAAAAGAATAACATCATGACTAGTCTTGTTTAAATTCCACGCCCGCCCTCTCTCTCATGCTCTTGGGTTTGTAATTATTTTATGCTAAAGTGAGTCAAAAGATGTACCGCTAAGAAAAAGTCAAGACGTCCACCTCTGGAAAGTGGGGATGCTGAAACAGCAACGAAGATCTTTTAATCCTTTTTTAAAAAAACAAACAAGATAATGGAACATGAAAAATAGTTCATGCCTTTTATATTTTTAAGTTGTTAGATTAGATGTATTTGAATTTTAAATATATATACATTAATAATTATTCATGTCTGAAGACATTATGTAACACAATAAATACTAGTTAATGTCGACTTTTTAATTGTTTACCTTGCTATTCAAGTGGAACGAGAGTTTTCAGATGAGTAAAAAGGGCTAGAGAAAGTATTTTTAGAAGATGATAAATAATACGACTCGACTTAATTAAAATCCCTCGCATCCTATTAAGATTCCATACATCAATGATCACAAACAAATTTTGATTCTCCTTCACGACTAAAGCGATGATCACACCAAATCATGACTACATGCTGTTAAGTTGCATTGTACCACACAACAAAGAAGAGAGTAGGGCTAAAAATATAATAAAATAAAAATAATCAGGTGGAAGGTAATTATCAACCAGAAAGTTTGACAGCTATGTCCACTATTATATTATTATAATATTTTTTTTTTTGTGAAATTTGTAACAAATGTTGGCGGAAGAAAGTGGCCGCCGAACCCCACGACTATGACAAATGACACTTTTATACTTGAGAAAGAATTTAATATGATGACATCTTTATATGGGTTGCAGGGACACAGGAAACTTCCAGGAATTTGGGTCTGTGCATAAAGCGTCCAGGGAAATCTGAACAAAACAGGGGGAAAACGTACAGAAAGCAATAACCACTCACAAAGACCAGTTCCCTAGACTTTTTCTGAAATCTCCTATGGAGTTTGAAAAACTTTAAGAGAAGCCCTCATAGTTTTTCATATATTATACTAACACCCTCTATTCAATTTTGTCCCCAGCCTCGTTCAGGACTACATATTTAATGTAACGATTACTTAATATAACTGTCTAATAAGAAGTTTTTTTAAACAAAGTAGACCTCTTTTTCTTTACATAGAATTGATTATATATTACATGGATGACGACGCTAATTAAATTTTGTAATATTCACTTATTTTCTTATCCATAAACAATTATATCAAATGATACTATTAACGTCGCGTAACTTTTATGTCAAATATTTTTTCTTTGGTCAGCAAACTTTTTTTTTTTTTTTTGCTTGCAATTTTTGTCTTTATCCTGTCTCACTCACAGTCACAGAGAGAGAGAGAGAGAGAGAGAAAATCCCATGCCACCAAAATCTCCGCTGACCATGACCCCGAACCTTAACCCCCGCTCCCCTGGTCTAGAACCTTCATTAGACTCCCGTGACCACCTCGACCCCTCGCTTCCATTTTTATCTAGATTTTGATTTCATTTTTTTTTGAACTTGTGTGGGGACTATTAATTTAATTAATTAATATAAAATAATATAATAAAAAAATTTATACACACCAAAAACTTATTGTATAAAAAATAAGATAAAAATCATAGTTAATTTTTAAACTTACCTCCGATTTTACTTTGATTATTGAATTTTCAATTGTTTCAATTTAGTCTCTTAATTATTCATCGTTAGATTAATGCTAAAATAAATCAAATTGGATTAGTCTCCAATTGAACTAACAATAAAAATTTATAGAAAAATTTAATTAAGACAAAATTAATAAATGAGAAACTAAATTAGGACAATTAAAAGACCATGACCATGACCAGGGACGGAGCCAAAATCCATTTCCAATAGGGGCAATCATCAAGTTCAAAGGAACAATTGAAGAATAATCATCAAAATTTGTCTTGTCTTCCAAATATGAGTGTTTTGCCATTTACATTATTTATAAAGTGATTTTTTATGGTAATTTTTTGCTTTGCTACTTTAAAAGTTTGTCACACATAAATTACTTGTAAAAAAGATAGAAAATAATTAAGAAAAGTTATATGAATGTTATTATTAAAGAAAAATACTAGTATTAGAATAATTTTCATAAAAAATGTTATTTTGACAAATTATTCTGTAAACAACTATAAATAGACATGTCAACCATCAAATTTTGAATGATTTAAATCCAAGTTCAATTTGACAACTTCATTTTGGATATGATCTGATTATCCATCAAATTTTGTTTTTACAATTCATATCTATATCTATATTCATACTCTTAAATATTAAAAATTTGATCAAAAATTAAATCTTATATATACACGTGTGTGCATGTGTAATTATGTCAAATTTTGGTATATCTAAATTTAAAATTTTAAAATATAATAACATATTCAAACTTAGATAATCAATTAAACATATCAATATATATTTAGATAATCGAATTTAGATAAGGATGAGTTTGATAACTTAATGTGTCATTGTAGAAAGAAGAGAAAAAATTAGAGAGTAAAGAAAGAATAGTGAACTTTAAAAAAAATTCAGTGGAGGTAAATATTAAAAAAATTTAAATTTTTTGTATTTTTAGAGTAACCCAAAAATGTTCAAAATCCCTACTGCCCCCACCCTACGTCCTCCCCTGACCATGACAGAACACAAAGGAGGAGAGGAGAGCCAATAATTTTAATTTTGTAATAGGTAGGCGCGCGCAGTACGCTGGTCTAATACGGCACAGATTTCCTATTGACGCGTACGGATCGTCCTCTACAAAGTCAAGCATAACATGTACAAAAGCGTAATTACAATGCAAGTTGAGTTTAAAATTTGAAGAAAGGAAACTGATTCAACTGTGAAGGAATTTTTTTTTTAAAAAAGGGTTAATTTCACTTTACATCTCAAAAAATGCTTTGTTTTTTAATTTATACTCTTAAATATTAAAAATTTTAATTTATATCTTTAATTTTATGAATTGATAACAATGTGCAGACAAAGATTTACAGTAATGCACATATACTTCACATGCTTTAATTTCTAATGAAAAACTAAAGAGTAGTTTGAATTAAGTTTATATTATTATCAATTTATAATATTAAAAGTAAAAATTAAAATTTTAATTTTTAAGGGTATAAATTAAAAAATTGGGCATCTTTCGACATGCAAATAAGGAGGAGGAGGAGAGAACAAGAAAGAACCAATTGCTGGTCTCAATCTAAAGGCAAAGTTAGTGAGCAAACCGAAATCGAACAAAGTCACAAACAATGACCTTTCTTTCTTAGTCTTCAATTCCATACCTCTGGAAGCAAGAATTTCCTCTGTTCCAGTTTTATTCTATACGTTGCTTTGTCCCAAAGCCATCTTTTTCTTCCTTCATAGGTAAAAATTCCCCCGCTTATATCTCCACATTCTCTCTCACTTTATTTTTGCGTTGCGGTGAAATATCAAATATGGTCTGGGCTTTGTCTATATATATTCGCAAAATCTTTGAAGTGTTTTCATGTGGGTAAAATTACTTTCACTCTTGCTTCCTCTTGGTAAAGATTCTATTACTAATGTGTGGTTTCTGTACATGCATACAGTTGTGGTGTGGTTTTCAGGCAGTTATTTTATGATAGTTGATGTATTCATTTGCTGGCTGGCTGGCTGGTTATCATCTGATTTTCTTGTTACTTGGGCATTCTTTTTCTTTGATTTTTTTATCTGGGATGTTGTGATTTTTTAATTTTTTTTTCTTCTCTGTTTGTTAAGATATATTATCGGGGCTCTGACGGCAACTTGCTGTTGGGGTATTTTAATTTAGGTCAGAGTTGGTTGGGTTTGTCATAAAGACTGATACGTTGAAGTTATTTAGATTGAAAAATGTTACTAAATCTGGACTAACTTCTGATTTTTTTTTCTCCTTCCTCACCAATTGCTTATTGTTTCAAGGCAGGACGGTTGAGTTTGAATGACTAAGTAGTAAAATTGTTATTTTGAGCCACTGTATTAAAGTTTATTTGTCATTTTGAATTGTAAGTTCAATATGCAGCCTGCTATTTGCTGAAGTTTCTTTTTTGCGCATGAATTCCTTTGCAGGGATTTGAAATGGGTTTAAGCCAATTTGTGTAGAAGCTTAAGTTGGAGTGACATTTCATTGGTCAATGGAAGCATCGATGGATGGAACGCCATTCTCTGCATGGTCGTGGTCTGTGGAGCAGTGTTTGAAAGAGTACAAGGTGAAACTAGACAAGGGTCTAAGCTCTTATGATGTCGAGAAGAGGCGAGAGAGGTATGGTTGGAATGAGCTTAAGAAAGAAAAGGGAAAGCCCCTGTGGCGGCTTGTTCTAGAACAGTTTGATGATATGCTTGTCAAGATCCTCCTTGTGGCGGCCTTCATATCATTCATTCTAGCTTACTTGCATGGAAATGAAAATGGGGAGGTCGGCTTTGAAGCCTATGTGGAACCACTTGTGATTGTCTTGATTTTAGTCCTTAATGCCATTGTCGGAGTTTGGCAAGAGAGTAATGCTGAGAAGGCACTTGAAGCCCTCAAGGAGATGCAGTGTGACTCGAGCAAGGTTGTAAGGGATGGATATCTTGTGCCAGATTTGCCAGCAAGAGAGCTCGTACCAGGGGATATTGTTGAATTGCGGGTTGGTGACAAAGTCCCGGCTGACATGAGAGTTGCAGTTTTGAAAACCTCAACCTTGAGGATTGAACAAAGCTCGTTGACGGGGGAGGCAATGCCCGTACTGAAAGGGACCAATCCTATACTCATGGATGACTGCGAATTGCAGGCCAAGGAAAATATGGTTTTTGCAGGCACAACAGTTGCAAATGGGAGCTGCATCTGTATTGTTGTGAACACTGGCATGTGCACTGAAATTGGCAAGATACAGACACAAATTCATGAGGCCTCTTTGGAAGAGAGTGATACTCCTTTAAAGAAGAAGCTTGATGAATTTGGGAACAGGCTTACAACTGCAATTGGCCTCGTTTGTCTCACTGTGTGGATTATCAACTACAAGTATTTTCTCACATGGGAACTAGTTAATGGATGGCCAACGAATATCCGATTTTCTTTTGAGAAATGCACATATTATTTCAAAATAGCTGTTGCCCTTGCCGTAGCAGCAATCCCAGAAGGCCTTCCAGCCGTGATTACGACTTGTTTAGCTCTGGGTACTAGAAAAATGGCACAAAAGAATGCAATTGTACGGAAGCTTCCAAGTGTAGAAACTTTAGGATGTACAACTGTGATTTGTTCAGATAAAACAGGGACTTTGACAACAAATCAGATGTCTGTGATGCAGTTTTTTACTTGGGGAGGAAAAACCACATCTTCTCGAGTTTTTCAAGTCCAAGGCACGACCTATGATCCTACGGATGGTGGAATTGTAGACTGGAATTGTTACAACATGGATGCAAACTTGCTAGCCATGGCAGAAATATGTGCAATCTGCAATGATGCTGGGATATTCTGTGATGGTCGTACCTTCCGAGCTACTGGTTTGCCCACTGAGGCAGCTCTTAAAGTATTGGTTGAAAAGATGGGAGTTCCAGATAATAAAATGAGGAACAAAATTCGTGATGCACAACTTGTGGCAAACTATCTGATTGATCGCAACTCTGTTAAACTAGGTGAGGCGGAAACTTCAAATTATTTTGTCTGTAGCAAGTATACTTTGCAGATATTTGGGTTTCATTATTTTTTTTTTGTACTATAGGATGTTGTGAATGGTGGATGAAACGATCAAGAAGGGTTGCAACATTGGAGTTTGATCGTATTCGTAAGTCAATGAGTGTTATTGTTCGGGAGCCAACTGGGCAAAATCGACTTCTTGTAAAGGTAATTGTTGTTTCTGTTCATGCAGGCTGTTCTAAAGAAATAGATAAGCTATAGTGAAGCTACATTGAAACAGGTTGTTTACCTTGTGGCATGATATACTTATTTTTCCTGGCTGGTTATAGTTCAAGAAAGGTTCCCCGGATAATTTCGACAGTTCTGCTTCATTTTCTTTGTTGGGCACTTGAGCAAGTATTAGTTGGCTTTTAAGCCAAGGTGTTGTTATTAAATTAACAATAACAATATATTTTAGATTGATTCCATGGTTTGACTGTATAGAAAGTTGAAAGAACTAGCAAGAGAAAGGATCCAAGTATGAGCCTAGCCACCTGAATTATGATTGATTGGTTGTTTCTAGTGCCGGCCCAACCTATGGGCCAGGGCTCCAAAAATAAAATTTTAAACAGGGTTATACAATCTGAATTTTGGGATATAATTTCAGTACTCAATGCAGTGAGTGCTAACGTTAAACAAAATTCACTATTTATCCAATTGATTTGGTCTTCAAATTAAGTACAAGTAGCTTTATTGCAAAATTTTTGAACACCTTTCAAAAAAATTTAGAGTCCTAGAGTTCTACCTAATTTTTTTTTATCTCACTCGATGTTTATATTATACGTATTATCACCTTGTAATCTTATTATTAAAATCAATTGTCTATCGTATAATAGGTATGAATAATAATTTTACATTTTTATAAGTTAAATTGAAGGCCATTTTTTAATTACTTTGTTTACAATACACAAAATGACTATAAAATAGAATGAGTAGGACTAGTGCGTTATCTGAAATTAATTAACCGTAGTTGTCGTACTAAATTTCCTTATTTAAACATTGTCCTATTTCTCTAGAATATCTAACAATGTCTCATTTATTTTAGGACCACTCAATTTGTACAAATTTCTATTTTTATATTCATTCAGAAAAATTCATTTATTAGTTAAACTAATTTTCAATTAAGTGTCTCTTTATCTTAAACAAATTGCATTATTATTGCATTTGATCTCTAGATTTGACTTCAGTTAACGCAATTTTTGTTTACAAAATTTGAAATTTAAATTTTAATTAATATGTTGTATCTCAAAAGACAAAACAAATGATTTTTAAATAAATAGAGTTTAATATTTTGATAACTATTTAATACTACTATTATTACTAAATAAATATTAATAGGGCCTTATATAACGTTTTCGCCTAAGGTCCCTATTTATGTTGAGCCGCCCCCTGGTTGTTTCTAAAGTAAAGGGCAGTACAGTTCACAAAATTCTCAGGGCTATTAGGTTTATATGTGACCTTATCCAGCATGCAACACCCGTGATGCTCAATTCACGATGGAACAACCTTATGGTTGTAGCGCTGCGCCAAGGCCCACTGTCTTGTTGTTTCTAAGGGGATTGGAAAATTTAGTTCACTATTTCTTTTGAGTTCAGCAGAATTAGTCAAATCTTGGAACAACATTTAGGTGGGATTTATTCCATTGGACGTTCATTTACTTTGTTTTGGACTAGATGTTAAACATGATGGTTATGTATTGTACATTGGGGCGGAGCTAAAGTGGGGGCAACTGGTCCTACTGCAATTTTAAAAAAGTTTAGAATGTATTTATAATTTTTCAATTTTTAGGATCTTGCACCCATTGAAATATTTTAAAAGACTTGCAAGTTGAGTGGGGTCCATGTGTCGGTCATTATGTATTTATGATTATAGGCCTAAAATGAAATGTCAAATCTCCAACAAAAATCCAAAGCGATTGTAACCATATATGTCTTCAGTCTTAGATCCAATGATTCCAAATGAAACAAACATTTAATTAAACTCCAAACAGATTTGCATCCATTTTGAGTCACACTCGATCTCTCTACGCCTATAGCATCCAATCTTTCTTATTTGGATAAATACTGGTGCTTACAATTTTATTTATGACGTGCGAACATGTCACAAAATTAACGCATAATTAGGGGATTTAACTTTAGTAGATTTAGGTAATGATTGAGTGGACCCATTAGACCTCCATAATAAATGATTCTGCATAAACATGGATAAACATGATACGAAATTACTAAACATAACTTATACATAGTACAATCCCAATGAGATATGAACATAACCATACGCTATCATAATTTTTCTCTTTTGGTGTCCCCTTACTCTTTTTTCTCCCTATTTATCTTCCCTTTCTTTAGTCTTTCCTCAATCAGTGTTTATGTAGTATATTAAGTGGAAAGCTTTAAAGGAAATCAAAGCTTATGAAATTCTGTCAGAGCTATTATGATAGATAAACACATAAATGATTTCGATAATTTAACAATTTTGTTTTTAATTTTCTTACCACTATAATTAGGGTTTCTATTATTATTACCTTTTTTTGGCTAACAGTTGGCGATAGAGCTTTGATCATTTTGAGTTGAATTGAAAGATGATGACTAGATCCAATTGTGCATCAATCTCTTTGGAACACTATTTATAATGATCAATCTCTAAGAAAATTGGATGATGCGGAGGACGTAAAGAAGTTCTATTCGAGAAAAAGGTTTACTCGGATGATCTTCATTGACATTTATGGATAGTTTTATAGTGAGTTTTCTTTTTTTGATTTTTTTATATTGCCCTTTTATGCGGCTATTTTTGCGAAAATAATGTTAACATTATTATTGAGTTTTATGTTACCCCCACTGCCACACAAGCCTGGCTCCGCCCAGTGTACAGATTGATTGCACTCTTTTTGTGGAAACAACCTGTTTTAAATTTGTTATATTAGTCTGAGAGGAGAGACGTAGTGGTAAGGTTATTCAATTGTGACCTAGATGTCAAGGGTTTGAGTCGTATAAACAGCCTATCTGCATTGGGATAAGGATGCGTACCTTTGGCCTCCCCTGACTCTGCAGTAGCGGGAAACGTGTGAACTAGGCTACCCTGAAATAGAACGACTGTAGGTATCTGTGTGGCCTGACTTTGTCTTGTAACCGTGTGTTCCGCAGCTACAATTTACCCTTCCTTGTAGTCCCCTGGTCTCTGTGACTTGTAAACAAGTTAGCATGCTTTTCTGATTGATATCATTCTTTTGCATTTTGATTAACATTGGATGTGCAGGGTGCCGTTGAGAGTATTTTGGAGCGTAGTTCACATGTGCAACTGGCAGATGGATCGATTGTTCCAATTGACGAACCTTGTAGGCAACTGTTGCTGTTGAGACATTTGGAGATGAGTTCAATGGGATTGCGGTGCTTGGGTTTGGCTTATAAGGATGAGTTAGGAGAGCTTTCGGACTACTATGCTGAGAGTCATCCTGCCCACAAGAAGTTGCTTGATCCATCTTTCTACTCCTTGATTGAAAGTGACCTAGTTTTTGTAGGGGTTGTTGGTTTAAGGGTGAGTGCATTTAGGTCGTAAAGTTCATGATTTACCTTTTGTTTGAGGCACATTTATTTTTGTAAGATATTCGCTGAGAAAGAAGAAAAAAGTACTAAAGTAAGATTCTTATTGTGTTACTGAACCAACAGGACCCTCCTCGTGATGAGGTTCACAAAGCAATTGAAGATTGTAGAATGGCTGGGATTAAAGTTATGGTGATAACCGGAGATAATAAGTCTACTGCTGAGGCTATTTGTCGAGAAATTCAATTATTTTCTACAGGTGAAGATCTTAGAGGAAAAAGTTATACTGGTAAAGAGTTCATGGCACTTTCCTCTTTGCAACAAATTGAAATTTTGTCAAAACCTGGGGGAAAGATTTTCTCTCGTGCTGAACCTAGGCACAAGCAAGAAATTGTGAGGATGCTAAAGGAGACAGGAGAAATCGTTGCAATGACTGGAGATGGTGTGAATGATGCACCTGCACTGAAACTTGCTGACATTGGAATTGCCATGGGCATTACAGGAACAGAGGTACCCTAGAAGCCATTCCTTGGGATTGTCACGATGCACATTATTTTTATTTTTTTGCATTTATCTCTCAGGTTTTTTAAAATGTTTATGTTTTTCTTACATATTGTTAAGCTGGTAAGTAAATAGGAAATGAGATCATTTTGTTAGCAATTTAGAAATTATGGTACAAGTAAGCATGGTCTTGGTTAATATGTCCAGTTTCCAAAGGTTTATTTAGCAATCTTTTATGAACCATTCAAGGACACTTTGTTGATTATCCTGCAGGTGAATATTTGACTCTGTGCTTTGGTTTCCATTTTTTCTCCTTTTGCATCCTGCTGTTTGACTTCTTAGTAAATCCTTTTTCAACTAACTGGCTCTTGTTCTTTTTGTACTTCCCGATTAATATGACAGGTTGCCAAAGAAGCTTCAGATATGGTTCTTGCAGATGATAACTTCAATACCATTGTTGCAGCTGTTGCAGAGGGCCGCTCAATTTACAACAACATGAAATCATTTATCAGGTATCCTGGGCCACGCTTCGTGGATCCGTTTTGCTGGTTTGGATCTTTTGCTTTTGTATGATCGATGTAAATCCTTGTAATTTAATTGGTTTGCAGATACATGATTTCATCTAATGTCGGTGAGGTGATTTCCATATTCTTGGTTGCTGCTCTGGGGATACCAGAATGTATGATACCTGTGCAGCTTCTGTGGGTCAATTTGGTTACTGATGGCCCACCGGCAATGGCTCTTGGATTCAACCCTGCTGATGTTGATATAATGCGAAAACCACCACGCAAAAGCAATGATGCTCTCATAAGCTCTTGGGTTATGCTCCGTTACATGGTGAGGTTGATCACTTATTTAATCTAGCATGACACGGGTCTTTATAACCCTTCTATTGCTACTGGTTTTGTTATGAAAATTATGAAGGCCGCTTCGTTGTTATGTAGTCACAGCATTTGAATATGGGAGTGCAGTATGGTGGTTGTTGGGGAGAGTTTGACATTGTGGCTGTGCTGTTGGGGTTAGTGTTTAAGCATAGTTGACATTACAATTAGAAATCCTTGTACAGAGGGTTATGGCCCAGTTTGGTCACTGTTATATTAGGGGACTGGGAGGAGTGGACTGAATATGTACATAACCTTTGACATTGTATTTAGAAAGCGACTGGCTTCAAGTACAAACCCGCAACTTTCCCAGTTGTTTTACCTGGCACTTTTACCACTGCACTAAGTTATAATTTGAAATCCTTAAACACATGATTATAATAAGAAACTTCCTTTATTAAGGTCATGAACTTGTTTTTTGGAACAAATCTTCTCAAGTAAGGATGCGCTGAGGGAAAGGTTAAGTGAGATCTTAGAACTCTTCACTTCATATGGGTATGGTTGCCAGGTTAATTGTCCTTTTCTATAGCATCTCTTCCTCTCCTATTAGTGCATCCAACCTGTCTTTTCCCAACTTCACTAATGGTCCAAGAGGTTAGACTGAGGTAGATAGAGGTAGAGGGAAGAAGATGTGTCCTTGTTTCAACGGGTAGTATATATGATGCTTAACTAGAAATGTACTGTAGACATTATACTTGGGACGAAATGCATTTTTAGTTATACACACATCCTATGCAGGTGGCATTTGTGAGCACCCTTTCTACTATGGCTTGGTTTTTTTATTTGCTAGCATGAGGCAGGAAGTTGACTTTCTGCCATATGGTCCATAATACAACTATCAAAACCAGATGTTAATAATCATTTCAATTTTTTGGGGATGCAATTTTAACAAGACTCAAATCTCTCATAAATTTGAGATTCTGCATTGTGATTATATGGCACTCTGGAGTCTGGACAATGTAATTGCTATTTTCCCTGGTGTAATGAATGCATGGTTTTGCTGCTTGTCATGATTTTTGTGTTTGTTTGCGTGAAAGTATACATGTTCAATAGATAACTACGAAACAGTATCTTTGTATCACTATATGCTGAGTACAGCAAAAATACATTTGTAGTTTGAGGTTGCTAATGAAAGCCTATAATGGCAGGTAATTGGTTCTTATGTGGGCATTGCCACTGTTGGAATTTTCATTTTGTGGTACACTCGGGCTTCTTTTCTGGGTATTAATCTAGTGAGCGATGGGCATGTGCTTGTTGACCTCTCTCAGCTTCGCAACTGGGGAGAGTGCTCTTCATGGTCAAATTTCTCGGCGACACCATTTACTGTAGGTGGTGGACGAATGATTACTTTTTCAGACCCCTGTGAATATTTTACCATTGGCAAAGTGAAGGCTATGACTCTGTCACTTTCTGTTTTGGTGGCTATCGAAATGTTCAATTCTCTCAATGCCCTCTCTGAAGACAACAGCTTGGTCACAATGCCACCATGGAGGAACCCTTGGCTTCTTGTTGCCATGTCTATATCGTTCGGGCTCCATTGCCTAATCCTCTATGTTCCTTTCCTGGCAGATGTGTTTGGTATTGTTCCACTGAGTCTGAATGAATGGCTTCTGGTCATTTTGGTCTCAGTTCCTGTTATTTTAATTGATGAAGTCCTTAAATTTGTGGGAAGGAGTAGAAGACGAAGAACAAAAGTAAAGACAGTCTAATATTTGTAGGTTTCATGAAAGCAGTTTAATGGAAGAGGAGAGATGTAATGGTGGATAAATGTTGTGGGACGTGCGAAGAAAAATTCTTTGATAATATATATTCTGTTTTGGCCCTTTTGGGATATTGCCACCCTGTTCTGTGTTGATGGAATGTCATTTGTTATGCTTGCTTCCAAGAATCAGAAGAAATGAAATTTTGAAATTCAAACTTTTTTAACAGCATAACCCAGCAGGTACTTTGCAAGATTTTGTTCTTACAGGTCCTTATTCATAATTTTTCGATCACAAAATCTAGATCAGATGTTTTTCCCTGAAGCTTCATCCTTGTTGTAGCTTCATCCAATAATGCATATATTTCTTCAGATCTTCGATGTGATCTATCCTCTACGATGAACTTATGAATTTGACCACCTTCTTCAATGAAACTATACCCTGCTGCCTTTGTAACTTGCGAGCCCTTCATCAGCTTCCTCAACTTTGCAACTCCATCCCATTGTCCTGCTTTTGCATAAATATTGGAAAGTATTACATAGTTGCCTGGATTCCATGGTTCCAGATCAAAGAGAGACTCAGCTGCTTTCTCAGCCAGCTCAACATTCCCATAGAAACTGCATGCTCCCAGCAGAGTCCCCCATACGACAGAATCGGGTTTCATTGGCATACTTAGTATGAGATCGTAAGCTTTGTGCAGTTCTCCTGTACGACCCAAGAGATCGACCATGCATCCATAGTGTTCTAGTCTGGGAGTAATGGAGAACTTTCTTTCCATTGATTTGAATAGTTCTGGGCCTCTTTCAATCATGCCCCCGTGAGTGCATGCTAATATAGCTCCCACGAATGTGACATCGTCTGGTGCTGTCCCTTCTCTCTGTATTAGCAATCATCACAAAGACACAAACATGTTATTGGGAACCTGATAATATTGATACGTTTAAATAGTGGTCAGTATAAACCATAGACAAAGCTTACCAGCATTTGGTGGAAAAGCCCTAGAGCCTCATTGCATTTTCCGTGGGCAGCCAAACCCATGATCATGGTATTCCAAGAACACAAATTTCTCCTATTATCAATCTCATCAAACACCCGAATTGCCGTATCGATCTCACCACACCTCGCATACATTTCCAACAGAGCATTGCACACGAATAAATTGTTGAAGTAACCATTTGCCCTAGCATAGCTTTCAATCCTCTGCCCAACCTCCAATGCCCCCAGATTCGCGCAGGCTGGAAGTACACTTGCAATAGTCACCTCATTAGGCCTCACTCCTTTCTCTTTCTCCATGTGCAAAAACATGGCCAAAGCATTTTCGTATCGCCCATTCTGTGAGTACCCAGATATCATTGCAGTCCATGATATCACATTCCTAGAAGGCATTGCCGAGAACAATTCTAACGCTCTCTCTGTATCCCCACACCTTGCGTATCCAGCAATCAAGGAATTCCATGTGGGCACATCTCTTATTTTCATCTCATCAAATTGTTTTCTTGCCAACTTTAACAAGCCCAATTTAGCATACATGTCAACCAAGGCAGTCAAAGCATAGACGTCAAATTCAAAACCTGACTTGACGAAATGGGTGTGGAGCATTTGGCCCTGGTATGGAGTGGAAAGATTGGCGCAACTGGCAAAGAGGAAGGTGAATGAATTTGCATTTGGCGAGCAGCCTTGGAGGCACATTTTAATGTAGAGGGACAAACATTGATGGTAGCGTCCCAGACGAGAGTATGCCTGAATGAGTTTGTTGTAGAGGAAGACAGTTGGTTCAGGAATTTTGTCAAATAGTTTCTGGGCGTATAGTATGTTTGGGATTTCAACGAGCCTTGCAATCAGGAGTTTGGTGAAGTCTATGCCATTTCTGAGAGTGTGGGCGTGTACTTGCTTCAGTTGGTTCATAACCAATTCTACTATGCAGGATCACCCTAAACGCCCAGCCACAAAGATTTTTGGTTGATACAATCCCTTCCCATCATATGCCAAAGTTAAGGACCTGCAAGTCAACAAAGGCCTCACAGCGGTAATAGTGGAGGGAGGTTGACCAGTCTTGGACTTGTGGGACAGTATCTAATTCAAACCGCAGCAACGAGAGGCCGTGATGGCACGGTGTAACCGTGATACCAATATTTACTCTTAAGGAGGGCTGTAATGGAGCGAGAGGGTGATGGTTCGAGTCTCCCTTCTCTTTTTTTCTCCCATGTCCTATATATATATATATATATATATGCACACAAATAAGATATATTTTAATACAAATAATTAATTTTTTATTTTTTTTTTTTCGATTTTAAAGGAATTGATTTTGGTGAATCGGAAAAAAAGTTAATTCATCCACTTTTTCATCCTTCCTACTTTCTTTTCTTGTCAAACATGATATTTTATTTATCCCTCAAATTTTTTATCTTTCTAATTTTTCATCCTCCTATTTTTTTCTCGTACTAAACAAAAAATTAATTAAAAATGGGTATTAAAACGTTTCTCATGGAAAGAAAATTGGAACTCAAACAATGTGTAACCTCTTTGTTCAAAAGATAAAAAAAACAATGTGTAACCTCATTGGGTATACTTCTCGACCGACTGTATAGACTTCATATGGAACAAATTAAATATTCTCAAGCACCTATTAACGATTTAATGGCCCTCAAATCTGAGTTTCGTATAATATTGATGGAAAAATTACATCCAGATTTTTTGAGGTTTGTTACTTGATTACTCAAATCCCTTGATATTTAAAATATTACACATAAAACTCCTAAAATTTGTACGCACATAACACTTAGATCCCTGTTATAAATATCCGTTAATAAATTACACATAGACCTCTTTGAAGTTTGTACACATATAATACTGACTTTTAAAATTTAAAATGTTATACTTAGATCAAAAATACTCCAATCAAATATAGAATATCAAATATTTTAAATTTTACAACAAAAATTCATGTTCTATTGTATCATTTATTGAAATAAAATCAAAAATAAAAATTCAACTTTTTCTTAAAAAAATTGTAATTAGTATACAATTATACTATCTATTAAAATAAAACTGAAAAATCAAACAAAGGGTCTAAGTCATTCTTAATAGAACATGAATTTTATAACCAAAATTCATGTTCTATTATGCCATTTATTTAAATAAAATAAAAAATAAAAATTTAATTTTTTTTAAAAAAGTATAGTTTGTATACAATTATAATATCTATTAGAATAAAACTAAAAAATTAAACAAGGAGTCAAATTGTAATGAACACAATATCTTTTAGCTTCAATTGAGATAGTTTGGTATTTTAATTTGGTCGTTTAAACGACTAAATTAAATTCCAATAGATAATATAATTGTATACTAATTACGATTTTTTAAGAAAAAAAATTTAAATTTAAATTTTTTATTTTATTTCAATAAATGATACAATAAAATATGAATTTTAATTGAAAATTTTAAAATATTTAATATTTTATCTTTGATTGAAATATTTTTGGTCTAAATATAACATTTTAAACTTAAGGGGTCTAAGTAATGTATGTTTACAAACTTTAGGAAGTTTGAATGTAATTTATTAATGAATATATTTACAACATAGATCTTAGTGTTACGTGCGTATAAACTATAGGGGATCTGAGTGTAATACTTCAAATGTCAGGGGTCCAAGTGATTAAATGACAAATTTCAAGGGATACGAGTATAATTCTCCCAATATGATTGAGTTAATAATAAAGTTTATCCCAATATGAAAACTCTTCTGTGTCCTGTGCGTGCTTGAAGATTAAAGTGTCAAACATCCATGTTTTCAGTGCACCTATGCATGGTGGATTTAGACTCAGCTTTGTTCTAAATTTTGATATGATCAACCTGCAAACAACTTTCGTGACATTGAACAGTACTGCCAGTGCTACCTCTCCTTTTTTATCTTCTCACACGATAGTACATCTCTGTGCCTGATAAAATAGAAAATCAACCTCTGAAAAGGATAGTTATACCCATTGGCTCATATAAAGACCAAAGAGTTCTCAACTTATGACTGAAAAGTAAATATGTCAAACAAGCTTCTAAAATTTGTTGAGCACCAAATTATAAAAGTTAGAACTGTTGCAGTTTTGTCCCACACAATTTCCTAATCTGCTCTCTCTCTCTCTTCCCCCGCTACCAAAACAAAACCAAAATGCCCAAATTCAGAACTTGGACTTTTATTGAATTCTTCCATCTCAATTTCACCATATACAACAAAATTGAAGAAGCTAAATAATCAATTACAGAAAAATTTTGATAATGTAAAAGAACCCTAGCTTGGCTAACCTGTTTGTCAATGTAGGCTATCACCAATTCTAACCCTTCCACCACAATGGAGGCTTTCACCAATTCCTTATCCCCTCCCACCAAGCAAACCAATCAGGCTTCAATATAGACAGGGTCAATGCTCCTGTATTTGTTAATTTATGCCATGAAAGATCTCCTGGCCTTCGAGGAAGGAAGCAACGCTAATCTGTCTTCAATGGCATTACATTGCTGGGAACCCGTGCTACCATTCAGTGAGGAGGCACATAGCAGAAACTTCACAATGCTAGGAGACACTTGATAATTCAACAAAAGAAAGATCTCAGTAAACCACCACCAGTCTCACTTTCTTTGGCAAACTCCAAGGGATGCTTACTCAAAGATGAGAAAGATATGTATAGTCCTACAACTAGGATAGTCCATGCCTGCCTACAAAGTTCTCCTACCCTAGTAAATGATTCCAGAAAATTCATGAATCACGGGGTTTCCTAAGAAATCACAAACTTCTTCTTACCCAATTAAATATGAGCGATATACCGTCCTCTAGAAATAAGAGGACTGCTCATGAAGCACATTTAATTGAGCAAGTATCCTGGCTGCTAAAGATTTCATGGTACCATTTCCCCTTTGAGTCAAGTCTACAAGAGGCATCTGAGCTGAGAGTCCATACCTTTGCTTGTACTCAACTAGACGAAAAATTCGTTCTAAGGAATTCAACACTTTCTCCTGCAATCCAGGGGAAGGGGTGCTAAGTAATCTTATGATTAAGGGTATGGCATTTGCTTCAGCAAGCACCTTGCTACCACTTTGCAGTCTTTCACCCTCAATCAAAGTCAACAGAGCATCTAAAGAAGCTTCACAAACTAAAGGATCGGGCTCCCCGAGAACCCTCACAAGAGGTTCCAACGCACCAGCCTCCAACAGGCAAAACGATGATTCCACATTACAGATTCCTCGATGAACCGGGCAACCAGCCTCCAGGGGAGGTGAGAAGCACCACAACCCCTGACGCTTTGGGATTGGCCGACTCAGCCTGAGGGAACTCTCTGAAAACTGAGCAAGAGAAATGGCAGCACGTCTTTTTGTCAAGCTGGTTCCTACGTCTAGCAACTGAACCAACACATGAATAATACGAGCTTCAGCTGCTTTCTTCTGTGATTGCTGGTTTGTTGGAACAGTAAAATGACTTATGGCTCCAACAGCATTCTCTATTAACTGATTCTTGTGTGGACCATTATGTTTGCCATCAGGAAGAAATCTGCAAATGATCGGAAGACCTCCTGCCTCCAACAGCCAATCAGTGATCTGGGGGGACTTGGGAAGGTTTGAAATGATACCCATCACTGAAGCAATCTCTTCCTCATCATTGGAAGTCTTGATGATTCTGAGCAAGGTTTCAATTGACTTCTGATCCACATGCTCTAACACGGTGGTTTCATCACCATCATTCGTCAAGCAAAATAACAGCTTAGTGGCATTTGCACGTACACCGAGGTTATCGATCTCACATAAGTGAACCAATACTTGAACAGCTGAGCACTGTGAAGGCATTAGAACAGCCAAATGTTAGCATCCATATGATTGAACCCAACTGAAAACAAAGAGCAGAAATACGATTGCATGAAAGAGAGTCACTTGAGTGGAGGATATTAAAGATGCTAGAAACTAGCCATGAAACCTTTAAAAATCACCTAGGAAGCCATAAGAGGTGATACTTCAATTCTCAACACTTGGAAAAGAGGAATTAATCAATATTCCCATCAGTGGCATCCTCACATGAAAATATATCAGAAGGGGAAGGGTGGGGATTGAAAAAAAAAAGAAGCAACAATGCAAGATGAAAATTTTCTAATGGTGATGCTTGTATTTCGAGGTTATTACCGATTTTTCTTGGCATCGAGTCATATATATCTTATAGTCATTAACAGTGCCACTAAAAGTAAAATAAGAATGGAATTTTCTCGAAAATTCACCAGCTGAACACAGTTACTACAAAGCACCAAATTATGCCTATAACTAAATTGTCTGGTATGCCTAACATAACAATCATGTCCATCCAACCAAAAAATACATATTTAAGATGTCATATGGCTTTGTTGCCATTATTTTTACTGGTCTTACATGCGACTGAACTACATATGCCTGGTAAGGAAGAAATTTGATTGAAAAAGATCAAAAATACATGGAAACAAAGGGTTTCCCATATGAAACAAACAAAAGGAACAGCCTAGTACAATAAAATAGAACATGCCAAAGAAAGGATGAGGACCCTTCTGTTAGGCTAGCTAAGTGATTGAAGGTCATCCTAAACAGCAAAGACTCAAATAGTCGATAAATTTAAACCAACTAATCTACCCAAACTCAAACAAAACCCCAGGTGCTATCATCCCAACCTATGAAGCACGGATACGGATACGGATACGGATACGGCGATACGATGACATCTAAAAAAATAAGATACGGATACGGTCAGGATACTTCTATAATAAAATATATTTCATATTTTTACTACTATCTACATACTTAATAATTATATGCTTTGGTAAAATAGAATTTTTTTTTTAATTTTAAAAAAATACATATCATTATTATAGTATATTCACAAAGTGAAGTGACTAATCAAGAGAATCAAAACTAATATTTACTTAATTGGTGTGCTTAGAAGTATTTGTTGCTAAGATCATAATGTATTAGATTCATTTTATGCTTTTTTTCACATGTAATAGTAGACAGTACTAAAAAAACATTCAAGTGACTTAAAAGTCGTATGAATTTTGTTGATGTATTTTATGGTATGTGAATTCAAAAGGAGATGTTAAAGATTAAATTAAAAAAACCCCAAGGGGTTAGCTCAAGTGTTAGTCAGCCACTTTATGAATGCCTTAAGTTGGCATTGGTTAAGGGTGAAAATGTTCCTTAGGGCCACCTCCCCTAAATTTAACCCTTGTGCGTGGAGAGAAGACTTTGCGCGTAGGCTAAGGTGACTACCGACCACGAGTCCAAATGGGCTTGATTGGTGGGGGATTCCTGAGTTATTAAAAAAAAATTAAATTAAAAAATTCTATCTATTGCTCCGATACAAAAATATACGCGAAGTATCCAAATATTTTATTATTATCAAAAAAACTATCCAAATGTTTTATTATTATCAAAAAATTATGAGGTGTATCCAATATGTTTCATCAAGTATTCGACGAATATCGTACCCTATACAAATTCGTCAACCTCAACGAAGTGTCCATGTTTTATAAATCCCAACAATTTATATGTAGAGAAATGGAAGGTGATCCACCACCAATAACCTCTACCCACAACATAGATGATTTGTAAGCGGCCACTTCTTAGTCATTAGTTGGAGTAATGTTTCCAATTTCTTATGGATAAAGTCTAATCCCAATATGCAGAAAAATTTCTTTGTTGACAGTAGTTCCATCCTTGTCCAAATTCAAATAAATTGGCACATTTCTCTCCCAGGGTAAGTTATAATCGGTTGCTGCCATAGCAATTTCAAGCACAAACGTATAAGAAGTCTTACCATCAATCAAGGACAGCTCAAATGAGATCCAACCAAGAGTATCTATGCCAGATCAAACCACATTTTTCATTATTCTTTGTCTAGATTCTCAGTGCCAGGAGAGAATATGACCTGTTTAAATTTCCATTTACCTTCTCTTTGCTTAAGAAGATCCCACTTCCATTTCTAGAATGATGCACTGCTTTTAGATGCAACAAGACAAATTATCTACAATGACCTCTGTTTCACAACATACATCAGCCTTTACTTGTGCAAAATGGCAACTGTTTCTTTCTAGATTGACCAAAAGAATGCACTCAAATTTTTAAAAGGGGAAAGGACAAAAAGTTTTCATCTAAAGTGTACCTGTGTTAATTTTGCCTTGACATTAGTAGCGGAGGGCGATTGACACAGAGCAAAAAAAGCACATAGAATGTTTTCTTGTATAGAAGGACCTGTCAAGTTGATCAACGAAAAGAGCCTACAGATTTCTTCATCAGTCTCCAACATTGAGACCCGTGTCTCATGGGAATCTGGAGAAACAGTTGATATGGCAAGATGTGCAATTGTGGCTGCTACATGTTCACGCAACTTTGGTGATGATGTGTGACGATAGAGAAGGTCAAGCAATGGAACAACTGCACCTTGTCTAATCATCTGCTGGCCATTCTTTGGTAAGCTTGAGAGGTTCTGAAGAGCTTTGACAGCTACAGTTTTCATCTCAATATCATCGCATGACACCAACTCAATCAGTGGACCCAGAATGCCGTTTTCAAATAGAGATGACTTATTATGATCAGTCAACTCCATCTCTGCCAAAGTTGTTGCCATTTTCATCTTAACATCCTCTGGTCCTGCCGGAAAAAAAAAATTGTTGAAAGTGATGCAAAATTTGTGCGGTCATAAGTTAGATCAGGCATTAGATGCAAATTGTCACGGTTTACTGATACCCATGTATAGTCATCCACTTTAGTGTACATATACCTAAACCTAGCCCAAATCAATAAGTGGAAGAAACAATAGTGCACCTACATAATTTCATCATACATGGAGTTCTTTCATGAAAATACTATTCTATGAAATAATTCAACTACACTAGATTTTCCAATGTTGGCCAATAACTGTTACGAATATGAAGACGCATTTGACTTCAAGAAATCAATCAGCCTATGCAGGGATTGGAGGAATTTTCACATACTTGCTAGAATGTTTTGGCAACATGCATGGATTGGCTGCAGATAGAGAGGCCTCGCCTATATAAAAACCAACTAATCTTTCCATGTGAGATAAATCTCTCTTCACAAAAGTAACATCTGGAATATATGAGTCACTGGCATGTCATGGATCAAAACATGAGTAATTGCTTTTGCCTAGAAGCTCAGTCAGATTGTTGATCATCTGTTCAGATTAGAAGGAGCCCTAATATAGAAAGTGAAAGTCTGAAATCTGAATATGCGCTCAAAAGTGTCAGAGGCTACACTGCATTAGTTTTAGTCATTCATGGATAAGTTAAAAAACTTTTTTGAAGGAGGTCGTCACAGCTTCTGAAATATTGATCATCAATATCACATGATTTCTCAATAATATCGCGACCATAACACAAAAGAATACTTTCAAAAGTTTTTCAAAGATTAAGAACCAATCTCAGTTAGGAAGAAGAACCTGAAGAAAGGCGTTGCAGCAGGTATCTAAAATAATTTGCCTTTGCCATCTGGATTACGTTGTCATCAGAGAATGAGAGATTCTCCAATAGCTCCCTTGCATCTCTGGCAGCTTGACTATCATCACTGCTAGACATAGTCACCAAAAGGAAAATGCAGCCTTGAACATTCGCAACGCAGTCTCGTACTAACTCATTTTTTGACAATTCCAATAGTAATGCCACAGCTAACTTCCCTTCCTCAATACGACGTCCAAGGGAGCGAACAATGGATTCAATGGCATTGTCAACTATTGAAATCTTTTCCTGCAATGTGCTTAAGTTTAGACGGCAAGTGATTTCGATTAACACTCTTGACTAACTGACTAGTCTACTTTTTGACCGGAGAGTCGGAGCCTGATCTAACTATATGACTGTAGATCACAGAACAGACCAAAAGTGACAAAGTCCAGTTATTGACTGGATACTGATCTAAGTCCAATGAGTTTTCATCAAATATTTGTCCCGAGATTAACTTTCAATGAAATAGTACAAAAGGAAATATAATAGTGTGCGGTTTAAGATAAAATATGACCCTTAATATAACACAATGATTAAATAAACAGGATATACGTAGCTGACCCCAAATAATAGGGACAAGGCCCTTTTGAATTGAGTTTTTATGCATCCATACCGAGTTGCACGTACGGACATCAAATTTTAATGTATTCACTAAGCATACAGACAGTCCAAATCAAGTTACAACAGTTTCTTAGCACTATTTGTATCAGAAGGATGCCATGCAAGACCAACCCAGATTTCCGTTATATTCTTCTCAAATCATATTCAAAATCCTTACAACTAATGTGAATAAGATACTCAGACTACACAAGATTTATAGGAAGTCAAATGAACTAGAGATGACAAGTACCGTTCTATTTTTTTTTTTAGGTGTAAAAGAGAGAACAAACTTATGTAAAGATGACTGCAGGTCAATAAAAACATAGGATGCAATGTTAACATTGTATAAACTAAAGTACGGTCTACCTTGGTGTTATCACTATCCTTTGCCAGGATGTAAAGGATGACGAGGGCACGATTTCTGATATCTCGATTTCTTGCACCAACCAATTCAATAAGATTAGGTATGTAATTCTCTAATACTACCCATTCTCGGTGTAGGTCTCTCTGTTCACAGAGATCCTGTAGCTGTTCCAGGCAATGAAGCACTTCCACCTCCTCTCGAGACAAAAGTTTTGGTTTCATGGATGCAATAGTAATCATGGTATTTCTATCCTTCCATTCTTCAATTGACTGCCTCAGAGTTTTGTTGGGCCGTAGCATTATTGTATCTAAAGGAATCATGGTCAGAGGACACAAGTTATTTCCTTCTGCAAACCACTTCTCTATTGCACTTCTCTCAAATGTGTGCCCCGAGGAAGTCTCCACAGGGTCCACCATGACTTCCCTAGTGATTGGGCAGTAAAAAGACTGCAGAGGTTCCAATGGTTGATTACCTAAAGAATGCCTCTTGGAAAGATACTTCAGTTCTTTCTCCTTGGGAGATGAAGTAGCATCTGCCCTTTCTAGCAAAGCGATTATTTGATCCAATTGTATGGCCTCAGCTTGGTCTTTCCTCAGCTGTGCATTTTCTATCTCCGTCTTGAATTCTTGAAATTCCTTCTTCAATGCTGATGGTTCAGTGGAAATACCAATAGCCTCTGCAATGGAAATGAGCAAGTTATTGGCATAGGATCGATCAACATTCCTCTCCTGTATTCCTGACTCTATTTTCTCCAAAATCTCTTCTTCTACTATGGCAGTCTTGAATTCTGCAGTTCGCATACTTTCACATAGCTGACTGATGTCTTCAATTATGCCCGAGGAAATATCCAGTGATGCAAAAGGAATAAGACTTAAAGCGCGGCTAATCTCTCTGGTAGTGTCTTCTACGCGCTTAGCAATCGACCGGCAATTCACAAGAAGATATACTTTGTTTCTCTTGCTACAATCCATGATTAGTTGCTTCGCAACTTTGAGCTCGCGGTTAAGGATATCAATAACATTGTTCAGACCTTGCGAATTGATATTCTGTCTATTAAACTCTTTTAGGAGAGGGATAATCCTGCCCAAATAAGATGCAAGTTGTGCAAAACTCCCCTTCTCAATTAAGACATTCTCAGTAGCAAGTACAACATCAACGATTTGAGAGACAGCGTCTGCAGCTAAATCAACAAGGGGACTGGTAACAACATCCAATGCCATATTGTTAACAGCTAAAGAACGCTAACAATCAATTTTGGGACCAATCCCATGTGATCAAATCTGCCCAACTCAAGTGCTCAACTTAAGAAAGAAGCAATATGTTCCCCATCCACTTGATCTCATCACCTATATTCAGTCCCACCGAAGAAGACTGTTGGTGAGATTTAATAAACAAAAATTATGAACTCTGAAGAAGAACGGATAGGGTAACTGAATAACTATTGAATTTTGAAGCTGACATTCTGTTTTAACTCAGCTAAGACAAGTAACTATATACTGCATAAACTGAACGGGGTACGTTTCACCTTTGCAAAAAAGGGCAAAAAAGAAAAAGAAAAAGAAAAAAAAGGGATATTCAGTATTTTAAACTAGATTGGCCAAACTTTATTGGCAACCAAAACTAGGGTTCAATTGACAACCCACATAGTTAACATCAACTTTTTTTGTCTATTATGCAAAACTGAAGGAATTAAACTGTAAAATTAATACATTTATTGATATGAAGAAAGTTGAGTTGATTTCAGCTTGTTTATCCATCATATTAAAGCTCAAAACAAGACAAGAGTACCAAACAACAAGAATCACATAGTTATCCAAAAACTAAGGCAAAAATGAAACAAATGCACAGGACTAGAAGACCAATTCAGTCAACAGATATTCAAGAAAGTTCTGTTCAACAATCCCTACCACTTAAAGAAAATCAAATTGCTGACCTGATAAAGGCTCGAATTTTCCAAAGAAATGATAACCAGTCGTCGTCCATCAGTTCAGGGCGAAGACAATCAGGGGGAAAAAAAAAGTTTTTAATTGCAGATAAAACTTGGACACGCTAAAATGGCGGAGTTTGAACAGTGGAACTGATTTTCCCGGAAAATGCGGCGAACTTGAATGGGAAACTTAGGGGACAGGAACTACTTCGAGAGGGGTTGTGAGCGATTCACTGCTCTAAAAAGAATCGATCTAGCCCGCCAGCCGCCGGACCAGAGAGGTTGAGAAAGGTTAAATTACAATGACAATTAGTCTAATTACAGAGACCCCTATATTGTCTGAAATAACACTGACCTCCTCGTAATTTATGTGTTAATTTCATGTAGTACCCCTGCAGTTAGTACAGTTGGAGACAATACTAAAAGGTGATTACATTAGCAAATTTTCTACATTAAATACCAAAATTACCCTCAAATAAAAATTTAGATAAGTTATTCCAACTTCCAAACATACTTTATTCCCTAATTGAGTAAACTCCCACATACATTCAAACAACAAAGAGCTCTCTCTCTCTCCCCCATCATCGACAACCCAAAGTTCTTGGCCCTTACCCTTTTCCTCCTTCCCTGTGATCATGCAACCCCAAGGCATTCATGACACACATTCCCACCACCTAATCTGCACCATATAAAAGTTACATGATTACCCATCAATTGACAAAGGCATTGTAAACACCGCCACCCTAAACGACAAGTACAAGCAGCTGCACCTTATACCTCCCCACGGAAAGCATTAGTGCACTTTCCTGTTCTCTAACCCTCTCTTTGATACATGCCACACACACACACAAACAACAAAATACCCTAAACCATAACACAAATCAAACCCCAACATCCAAAGAGCAGCTCAACCAAACTCATCGAAATTCAACCACAAAATTAAAGGAATAAACCAAAAATGAAATCCAAAATCTAACAATTTAATGCCAACTCAATTGAAAATGGCTGGGGCTATTCACACTCCACAAATTTTCATTCTTACCGTACAAATTTTTATTCTCATCCCATTTAATTTCTCATTATCAAACTACTAAGTCCACCCCATTAATAATTAAAATCACTCATTTTATGTATATCTTTTTAATGAAAAAAATCATCGTAAGAAAAAAAAATTAATTTGAATATATAAATATATTTACAAAACAAGAAAAAAAAACCAAGTAAAACTGAAACAAGAAAAAAAAATCAAAAACGAAAAAAAAAAGCATGTCAAAACAAGAAAAGAGAAAAGAACGAAACAAGAAAAAAAAAGAAGAAAGAAATAAACCGAAACAAGAAAAAAGAAAAGAATGAAAAAAAGAAAAAAAGAAAGAAGCAAACCAAAACAAGAAGGAAAAAAAAACCAAGTAAAACTAAAAGACGTAAATATGAATATAAAAAAACAAAAAAAGAATCCAACACAGACACAAAATCAAACAAAAACAAACAAATCAAAGGAACAAATAATTTAAAAGCATATATATATATATACACACATAAATTCTAAATAAAAAATTATCAAACTTAACAGAGATATCAAAACATATTAAAAATAATGAAAATCCATATAACAAACATGAAATCAAATATAGAATTAAATTGAGAAATAATACTAACATGAATCTCATTGAAAAAATTCATATTAAAAAAGTATTTTTGTGAGTGCATGAGATGTGATAGAGAATGAATCCCTAATTATGACAAAATATAAAGTGAATTTACATATTAAAAGAGATATATATAGTATGAAGTGAGTTTAGTTACTAATGGAGTGACTATAGAAGAGGTGAGTGTAGTAGTTTGATAATAAAAAATTAAATGGGGTGAGAGTGAAGTTTTGTAGGGTGAGAATAGCCCCATCCATTGAAAATTCAAGACAAATGGATTTCGAGAGAACAAATTTCTATAAGTAACGTGTTGGTAAAAAAGGGGAGGTAGATTGTGAGGATGGGTGTTTAGATTATATATGGGTGTATGTGTATATGTGTGTGTGCCTATATACATATAAAGAGGGGGGGGGGGGGGAATTGTACGAGAGAGGGGTAAGTTGTGTTGGTGTCATGGTGCTTGTAATTGGTGATAATGTATGTGTGCGATTTGTATACATATCAATTAGAGCGAGGGAGAGAGAGGTGGGTCCGTGATGGGGATGGTGGGTTGATGGTTCTGTGAAATGGGTTGTAGCTGGTGGCAATTTTTTTTGGGTAGTAGGAGAAAAAGAAAACCATGGAGAGAGAGAGAGGTTTTAATTATTATATATATTAAAAATGGGCACAAGTGATGGGTAAATTTGTAAAAATGTGATTCCTGTCAGCCTTGTTACTTGACAAAATCTAATAGGGGAGGTCAATGTTATTTCAAATAATATAGGGGGTGTCTCTGTAATTATACTAATCCACAGGGGATGCCATTATCATTTACCCAAAAAGATATTTAAAAACTGAAACTAACTTTTAATTTAAAGATTAAAATGTTGAATTGTTTTTTATTATAGTTTTTTTTTTAAGGTAACGTAGCATTATTTAATAAAAAATTGATAAATACACAATTAATCTCATGCAATCTAATAACTATTCCATACAATATAGTGTACTTTATTTATTTAGATATTTTTTATTGAAGGGTGATATACAATGATAATATGGTAATATTGAGAAAAAACTGAGACGACTCCGTTTATTATTTATTCGATAAAAAAAATTGAATTTTTTTTTTTTTAATTATGGAAAGTATCTATTGGTGGTTTTAGTTTTTTACACAGCTTGACCTTGTCTTTACACAGCAATGAAGACTCTTCCACTTTCCGCTTGGACTTCTATACTTGTGGAATATAGCGCCAAATGTCACGTTCTGTTCAAAACTCAGGGACTGGAACTGGATCAACCAATGCAACCCCAAAGCTTAATCCGTCAGACAAGTCGAATGCCAAACACTTCCGCATTACTAACTCAAGGTTTCAAATCCAGATCTTGTAATCAAGTTTAATTTGTCGATGATTGCGCTTCACAATATTAAAAAAAAAAATTGAATTATAATCCAAAGAAAATGTTATAATGGTAATTTGATGGGGAGAGATTAGGACATAATATGTGATAGTCTCGCATCGAATAAGAAATAAATTAGAATAATAACAAATTAATATAATTTATTAACCAGTGAATCTTTGTATCAGTTATAATTTTATATTTTATTTTATTATATTTTCTTATCTTAAATTTTTATCTTCTAAAATGTTTTACTAGCGATACTTATCTGTTGTATAAAACTAACAATTGGTAGCACAATAAAATTGATGATTCTAATGAAACTATTATGCTCCGTTTGGTACGATGAAAAGTGGGAGGATGAAAAGTTGGAAGGATGGAAAATTTGAGGGATAAATAAAATATCATGTTTGGTAAGGAAGGAAAGTAGGAAGGATGAAAAAGTGGATGAATTAATTTTTTTTCCAACTCATCAAAATCAATCCCTCCAACATCGGAAGAAAAGTGGATGAAAATTTAATTATTTGTGTTGAGATGTATCTTATTTGTCTATATATCTTTTTATATATACATATATTATGTATACATTAATTTCATATAAAAATACAATGGTAAAATATGTGTATATATATATATATACATATTTAAAAAAATAAAAAATGTTTTTTTCCATCTTAACTAAGAGCAAAAATTTTCGACTCAATACGATAACACGACTCGAACTTAATACGAAAATAAACAAGTTAACTCGCAACTCAATACGACACAATTAGTTAAATAGTTAAGTTAAGTTTGATTAATATTCGACATAAACCCGTACTGACTTAATACGAATTTGACACGACACGACTCGATTGTCGCCCCTAATCTTAGTCAGCACAAAAAAAAATAGTTATTTTTATTTTTCATCCAGCCAATCAAACATAAAGGAAGGAAAGTGTATTCTTTTTACTCTCTATCCTTGAATGATAGAAAATGTATCCCTCCTACGTTTCATTCTCCCTACCGAACGAAGCATTAGAATTAAATTGATAATCATGTGACAACAATCAAACAATCAAGTTGATGCTCATTTTTGAAAAAAACTGCTCTACTCACGTTGTGTATAACATGGTGTGAAATTTCTTCTTGTGTACATTAAAAATGCGATTGTCTCCTCTGCCCTTTTCGAGGAAAACACCGTCTGCTCTCGAGAACAATTAAGATGAACAAACGTGGAAAACACTGTCAATTGACTTTCGTTTATGATGTTGTTCCTCCGAGACGTGTTGTTTTGTTCCAAGTAAAAAATAAAATTGTTGGAAATTACAACAAAAAATATTTTTTCAGTTTGATATAAGATTAGGGAAAGACTGTTTTACTTCATCAATTGTTAAGTCAGTTATTCAGCTTACTTTGGTCAATACATAGAGTCACTAAATAAACGGACAATTCCTGTAACTCAAACAACCGTGCTAAGTAAGTCAAGAAAGCCAAGAAATGGCTTAATCAATCTTAGAATGTTATAATCAACCATAGAAATTGCCATTTTTAAATGTCAATTACAACTGATTATAGTTTTTTCCTTTCTCGTTTGATATAAAATTTGAGTTAATGGGTTGACTTGTAAAAACAAAGCGCAAGTCAGCTTGTACCATCGGACTGGGACAGCCCACTGTACTGCAACGCGTACCAACCGAGGGCTGATTAGGTCGTGAGCTTGCACATTACATAACAAGTCAAACAAACCCCACAAAACAGCTTGGTTCATAAATCATACGCCTTGACTCTTCTCAAACATACAACACAACCACAAATGAGGAATCAAAAGAGGAATAGAAACGCTGTTTCTATTTCACATACAACCCTCATCAAACAAATAAAACCATGACAACGGGACATGATGACAAAACACACACAAGTTGCTGTTGCTTGAAAAGTCTTTGCATAAAGTTTCCCCCCACCTTTCGACAAGGGCGAACACGTCAATGAAATTGATGTATAATCCAAATGGGATGTGGGGTGGGGAAAGGAAATGGAATTGCTCCCAAGTCTTACCCCCCCGTTGTTTTCCCGCTCGTGCTTGACTCTCTTTTTCATGACCGGATTGTCAAAGGAGAATTGGTATTTGATTCTTAGAATACCCCCTCTGAAACACAGCCGTTGCCAGATCACCAGCCTTATGACTCTCTAAATCTGCCCCAATATTGCCACAGCTGTGCACAACTGATCAACCACAAAAATATGGGACAGAAATGAACCGTAGAGGGAAAAAAATTATCAAACCAACTAGAATTTTAGGACAAAATCAATCAGGGGGATCCAAACAAAACGAGTTCTGTATTTGGCGTACAACTGTTTGGGAATACATTAAAATCAAATAGAAGCAACGCTAGCTCAACAAATTATAAATCACTATTCACCATGGGGTCAGTAGACGAGCCCATTAAGCCTTGGGAGTATTCCACATTTAATGGTTCGCTAAACTAAACTAATGCACTGCTATAAAGCATAAATGTATTTATGGGTTTCCAATAACCACGTCACTCATCCATACCATGCTTTTCACCATTGTTTTAACATTTCTAATTGAACGTGGGACAAAAAGTTCACATTGCACAAGCAATTACCAATCCACTATGCGGAAGGCTTAAACATTTTAGGTCCAACAACTCGGTCACCTATACATCGCATGCTCTAAGGCAATCGGAAGGACCCATAGGCACCTACCATTTTGCCACTCGTGATGTATGCCATCCAAGGACAATGGCAGAGCTTCCACGCCAACCAAAACTGCAACCGCTGACACAATTCTCAAATTATACCTAAGGCCACTTTGGTGCCTTTAGCCAATTATTTCCCAAACAAGTAAAGCTTGGTGAAGCTAGGTTTTTGTCACTTGGCTGCAGTTCTTTTGTGGTGTGTGACTTAAACTCCTGCCGATGCTTGACAGTTTGAAATCCCTGAAAGTAACATATCCTGTACAGATCATTTGTAATGAGTTGATTGTCTATCATGAAAGTCATACTATATATATGATTTGAAAGGGTGCATACGATACATTAAAACTTCATCCAAAGCAGTTCCAGTTTAAAAAATATCAGAACTTGAACATTGAATTTGTTTTCTGATAACTTCCAAGGGTCATCAAAATGACCACCGAATGAATGACTTTGCTAGCACTGTTTGTCTTAGATGATACTTAACGATCATAGAAGTTTAGAAGATGTATAAATAGATACCTGGAATAGTTTTTGATACCTGAAACTGGGGCGATAGAATCCTTGATGGAAAGACTACTACTTTTTCCTGAACCACCTGGACCAACAGGTGCAAATATTTTTTCTTCAGCACTACCCACCAAGATGAAATTTTCAAAGTTCACACTGGTTGTAGAGGTATAAATAGGCCTCAGTAATAAAAGCCTCTGGCAACAACAGTGTCACCTCATCTAATCTTTCTGCAGAACCTCCTTCAATCGTGCGAAGAATATTTGCAGTAGCTGGCAAAACAGAAAGTAGCGAGGGTCTGAACTCCGAAGTCAGGTCTCCAAACCAATCAATCCCATAGCTAAACAATCCCAAGAATATAGAACGCATGACACCATGGATGAGTGCTTGGATGCTAAGACCTTATAAAGTCATACTTTATTGCATCAGTGGTAGCGAATAGACAGAATTTCAAGGCCCCATTCTGCTACAGAATATTGTTGGAAGACTGTCCCACTACTTCCATATTGAAACACAGAAAAACTTAGGGGAGAGAGAGAGAGAGTTGAGAGCAGGAGGTGGTAGCTTCCTGCCAACCAATGAATGATTTAAGCTGCTCCAAAAGGCTGCTCAAACAACCAATCCTTTGGAGGCTTGGAGCAAAATCTAAGGTGAGGCAGAAATTGCCTCAATAGTCCAGGATCTCTGCAAATTAACCCTTAATAGTCCCCTTAGCAGGTCTCTCAATATATGGAGTAGAAGAGGCAGTTCTTCCTTCCAAATCTTATGAATTAGCAGCCACAAAATCACACAAACCTCGGATTCCTAAGTTCTGACTACTATTTACCTAAGAGTTTAATGCCTCATTGGTGTCCTCCAGTAGTACTCTATTGAAAATGGCTTCCCCCTTACTGAGATTTGCAACTAACTTGCGTAGAAAAACTTCCCAATAATCGGTATCAATTCCTTGTTTATGTGAAGCAGCTATGAAAAGTATCCGGGAAATGTTTTCTTGCGATCCTGATTCAGTAAGCCCCTCGATTAAAATAGAGTGAGTGGACTTGTTCGGTAGACACCCTTTGTCCATCATCTCCTCCAGCACTCTGATTCCCTCTATCGCATTACCAACTTTACAAAATCCTTTAATCAACATGTTATAAGTAAAAGCATTAGGCACGCACCCCTTCTCCACCATGTCATCCCACAACCTCCCCGCCTCACATAACTCTCCCCTCTCACACATTCCAGCAATAAGCGTGTTATAAGTCAATTCACTAGGAATGGAACCCCTCTCAAATTCCTCAAACAACTTCCTCGCTTCCCAAATCTTCCCTTTCTTACAAAGCCAATGTATAAGCGTGCTCGATATCACATTATCAGGAGTAACATTCTTTGTCAAAAGCTTCTTCCAAAAAACAAATGCCTCTTCAACCTTGCCTTCCTCGCACAAAACATCAATCAACTTACAACAAAGTACCGAGCTAGGTATATACTTATTCTCAAGCATATCATTAAGCAAATTAACTGCTTCGCCTGATTTCTTTTCTTTACAAAAAGCCTCAATCATCACTCCATAAGTAACATCATTCGGATGAACCCCATTCTCTTCCATCTCATCCATCACTTTCACAGCTTTGATCAGCTTCCCTTGATTGCAAAACCCGTCCATCAAAATCGTATACGTTGTCGCATCAGGTAACCACCCTCTATCAAGAATTTCATCAAATACCTTCTGAGCACCCACCATATCGCCTCTTGACACGTACCCACCTAATATAGTAGTATAAGTCACCACATTCGGCACCATTCCCATTGCGTGCATTTCATCCACAACCCTAATTGCACCCTCTACATCATCATTCTTACAGAAAGCCTTCAACAAAATATTACAAGTAAACACGTTGGGTATAATACTGAATTTTTTCCGACAATTCTTGAACAGAGTGTGGACCAAATCATACTTCTTATTCTGAATGAAAGCGTTCAAAAGCGTATTAAATGACCTCACCGATGTTGCGACACCAAAATCTTTGATGCGCAAGAAAGTGATAAGGGCTTGTTTGGGTTTACTTGCAATGCCGTAGTTTCGAATCACGGTTATGAAGAGATTTTCTCCGCATTTGATGCTGGATTGGCGTAACTGGGTAAGAAGGCTTTCCACGGATTCGAAAGCACGAGCTCGAGCGAGCTTGTGGATCATGGACTGATAGGTTTCGTAAGTATGGGTGAAATTGGGGTGGTACTTGCCTGCGTATTCGAAGACTTGGAGGGAGAGATCGAGGTTTTGCTGGCGAGTGATGATGGCGCTAAGGCGTTTAGGGGAGAGTTTTTGGGGCCAGGGTTTGATTGGGGGTGTGACGGAGTAGGATTGGAGGAGTTGGGATTTGGTGGTGATGGTGGAGAGGTGGAGGTGGGAGGGTTGGGCCGCGAGGTGATCAGTGACGGTGGATGATGTGGTGGAGAGGGTACGAGAGATGGTGATAGATCGGAGGATCAGCGATCGCCGGCGAGAGAACATGTTATGGTCTTGGTGGGTGGGGCTTGGAGGATTGAGGGTTTAGGCCGTTACAGGACCGTTAAGCCGCCAAATGCGGCATTGTCAGTCAGAGAGTGGGCGATGGACTGTATCGGGTCAGGCCGGCCCATGTTTTTGGGCCTAGGTCCGCCACGGGTTGGGATCCCCTTGCTGTGGCAATGTCAGAAACAAGTGACCATAAGTTTTAATTAACTAGGTTGACTTGAATTAATGATTTTAGGGTTAATTATAAATTACACCTTGAAAGATTATTTAAATTTTAATTTGTACTTTCAAAAATCAAAAATTTCAATTTACACCCTCAAAAATAGAAATTTGTATCAATGTTATATTATATTAAACTTCACCGTCTAAAGTCGTTCAAAAATATTCAATTTCAAATTTAAATCTTATTTTTTAAAGCCAACTATGGAACAAAAATATATGAGAAAATATTACAATAAAGGAGAAAGAAATGGCATAATCATCTTGTAAAATGATTGTTCCACGCTTTAATGGTATAGCATCTCCTACTTTCAGCAATCATTCTTTTTTCTTATTTAATGTGTTATATGGATTATTAATACACTTTTGCATGCCTTTGTGCTCATAAGTGTCACCCAAAATATAGGCACAATAATGCAAGTGGCATGCAACTTGATAATAATTAAGAGATTGCTTATATGAAACATATATTCAGTGTCTTATAAAATTGCTTGATGCGTATTCTCTTGAAAACTTTTTTTTTATTGGTATGAAATAGTTTCACTATTGAAGATTGGAATACATCGAGGAAATGAGATTAGGATCTCATTCTATCCAACAATAAATAAAATTATTCCATTAACTCAACAACATGACACACTCCACTTTGGGCACATTTTCTTTGAAATTTCAATTCTTGGATCACTTATGTCAAGGGGGGCTTTGATTCTGATTCTGAACTAGTATGACTCTGCTCTGACTCTGCCTTGTAAGAGGCAAAGCGGAGTTTCGGAGTTGGGGCGAATTTAGGCAAGTTGTTATTAGGGTTTTTTTATATTTTTTTCCTAACTTTTGGCGGGATTTGGGCCAAATTTAAATGAGATTTAGACCATTTGTTTTGACATTTGAATCGTTTTTAAACTATGTAGGGATTTGGGCCAAATTTTAGATAGAAATTTTACATTTTTTTTTTAATTTTTTTGGTTTTTGTTCGAGGATGTTTCGGATAAGTTTACACCTACCTTGATTGATCCTCATTTTGATTAAATCAAAGGTAGGTCATTTACTTTAAAACTAAAATATTTATAAACGATAAATTTTTCATGATTTTATCCAAAAAAATTATAAAAATTTAAACTTAATACGTCTAAATTTATAATACATCTTTGTAAATACTTAAATTAGTTTTACGCTTTTTTATTTCACTTTTACTGTGTGAGTCGGGTCTTCGACAAAATTATAGCAGTACCAGTACATGTGACAGTTGTTAAGGTGTTGATTCTGTGCCTAAACTACAAACATAGACCACAGACAACTCAACTTTAACAACAAAAGTGGTCGCCAAATCCAATGATGAGTAACAGAAAGTAGGGCCTCCTTTCCTTTTCCCATCCCACTTGAAAACATACAATATAACTTGAAGTTTCCGTCCGTCCGTCCAGCTGTTTGGTTCGATTAATGTCTTTGTTTTGTAGCCCATCTATGTATGCTTCGTCGTTTCAATGATTATTGCTTGCTTGCTTAGAATGATACACACACACATAGTGCGAATGATTGCCAAAAAAAAAAATAAGGATCAATTTTGTCCACGATATCAAAATAAATAATTGTTTATGACATTATTATCTTAATATTATGTGTCATTCATTAGTAGACACATATTTTCATACCAATACCATGTACATGGTCGATTAAAGATCACATTAGCCTGAACACAAACCTGAGAATGCATAAGCAGCAAAATTGTTTGTTGATCATATGACTCATATCTTTTGTTTGTGTTGACGCAAAATTCCATTCATAGTGAGAATTGTATTTAAGCTTTAGACGAACCAAGTTCTTTTATTATAAATTTAAATGATAGTGTAATCAATTGGGGATTATATTTGAATTTAACATGGTGTGCAGTGAGTGCAGTGCACTATCCCATTCTAAGTTCGTCATTAACACCGATTAAATAATGTAAACAAAACAAAACAATGTTGGATACCACCAGCTTTAACTTCTTATCTAATCCATTTCTATAATAAACCCAAACTAAGTGCTTTCATCTGCAGCCCCACAACTCCAATGCAAGAACAAAAATGGTTATAAAAAAAAAAATTACATCATCAAGTTAATTTTTAAATTAATTTTTTAAATCTGCGGAGCATTGTTCAAAAAACAAACTTTGAAAAGAAAAGCAAAAAAACAAGACCAAGCAAAATTTACATGGACTAACCAACCAATAGCCTTAGCTCTTTCAATTTGACACCTACACAATTTTTTCCTGTGGCGTCACCGTTCCATCATCTCGGAATCATGATCAGACGGCCCTGTTTTTTTATTGCTCCTCAACCTCAGTATACCGTACAACTTCCGAAACTCCTTCGCCACGGGGACAGAGTCCTTGTGATTCCAAAACACGCCACCCGATTCACCGTCCGACTCTCCCGCCGCCGGCCTCGACGAACAGTTCTCCGTCATCCGCCGTCCGATCTTACCGCTGCCCCTGCCATCACCGGTTTGCAACGCCGTGATCACCGACTTCAGAGCTCTGCTCGGTGAGCTCCGGTTGACTATCAAGATCTCTCCGATCTCCGCCGGACTCATCGTCGCTCCGCTCTGAAAGATCTCCTCCACTTGTGGGAACAATTTGTGGTCCCTAATTCCTAAATAGCTATTCGCTAAAGTCTTGAAAGAATTGAAACTGCATAACGGAAAATATATATGGACATCGATTCTTCCAGGCCTTAACAACGATGAATCGATCAGTTCTTTGCCGTTCATCGTGAAGACCATGATTTTCTCATCACCACAACACGAGCTCACAATTCCATCCATGAAAGTCAAAATTCCAGATAAGCTGACCCTTGTTGATTGCTCATTCACGAACCGTTCAAGATCTTCGATCACGATTAGGGATTTGTTTGAGGTTTGCAATAGAAGCATTTTGAGGTCAGAATCGTCTGAGACTCTGGATAGATCGATGTCGTACACGTCGTAGCTTAAAAATTTTGCCATGGCAGCGACGAAGCTAGATTTCCCGGTGCCGGAGGGACCATAGAGAAGATAGCTTCGTTTCCAAACACGGCCGAGGCGATGATAGTACTGTTTTGATTTAAGAAACGCTTCGAGATCAGACTTGACTTTGTTTTTCAGATCTGGATCCATTGCCATCGTGTCGAATGTAGAAGAATGTGTGAACGGAAGGGATCTCCAACGGCCGGTGCTCCGATGATCAGATTGGGCGTTCATGTAAAGCTTCAATTCTCTTCTCTTTTGTTCTAAATCATCTGAAACAGCGTTGTGAATATGTTGAAGATAGGGTCGAAGAATTCGCCGCTTGTCTTTCTTTTTCATATTCAACAACAAAGTTCTTCTGCAATTTTCATCTTCACCCTTCAAGACTTCGTTTTTCCATGAAACTCTGGCTCCAAGAAAAGTGTCGTGAACAATCTGATTATCGTCTAGGCAGAGAATAATATCGTTGGATTTTTTGCCGGAGAAGAGGTTGGTGAAGTCGGAGTCTTCAATCGAAGCCAAAGAATTGAGGTAAGTGAAAACTTGCCGATAGAATTGATTCTCTTGGACATTGTCGTTGAATTCAGGAACTTTGAAGGTCTGGTGGACGTGTATTCCATCTTCTACCCAGTGCACCCATTTCTTCACAACCAAAATTAAAGCAGTTCGATACAAAAACAATCGAACAAGGAGATATAACCCAACAATAGTCACCAATAACAACAGAAACAGACTAATCGGAAACATGAGGGAGGGTGGTGGGTGCGTGAGCCTAGTTTCCGATTGCCCAAACCTGAAATTGAATGGCTGATGATCATCAGAGTTTTCTCCTCTGTGAAGCCAAAATCATTTTCACAGAGAGATTTTTGAGAGGGCTATATAGTGAATAGAAGAAAAGGCGAAATAGTGAAGAGATGGAGAAGCGGAGAGAGAAGGGTTGTTTGGATTGGAAGTGATGAATAATGAATTGAAATTGGAATTCTCTTGTATTTCTCCGTCATGGGCTCGGTCATAGCTAACGCAAACTACTTTCCAGCCAGGAACTTTTATGGCCTTTATAGCCGAAGGTGGTGTTCCTTCGGCTATTGTTTGGATTGTTTAGTCCTCCCAACTCCAACTGGACTACTCAATAGGATGGTGAAGTGGACAAATTCGGGTTTATCTCTTTACGCGTTTAGTACATGAAAACATTAGTTTAGAAAATAAGAAAATTTGATTAATCACATATGAATTAATATTTTTTATTTTGAATATGAATTAAGTATCCAAATATCAAACTACTAGGAGTAAGGGAAGGGGGGCCTTTTAAGTTTCAACTCTGCAGTGTGATGTTTGAACTTTCTTAGTTGAACCGGCAAGCGGCACACCTAACACTAGGAATTTATCAAAAGAGCAATAGTAATGCTACAGCATAAAATGCCAGAATGTCTTTCATCTCTTTCCAACTTTCCGAAAGAAAAAAAACACACATCATCTCATTCCAAATCTGTTCGAATTCCTTATATTATTCGCCTAAAATTACATTGAGCGAACATGGATCAATATTCATTCCGATACCCATTTTTTCCTTATTCTTTTTAACATCTCAATTACTGATCGGATTTGTGGGGTTTGTGCATATAAATAATGGGTGATCTATCATTAAATAAAATTGTATAAAAAAATAATTGAGAGAATCTCAATCCCAAATCACCTACACTATATATATTGTGCGTGTTGGATCTTGCACAATATAAACACGAGAACATATCTCTTCCTTGGTGAACTCGAGTGAGTCAATCGAGTGGTCAACCCTGCTGCTTGGAACAGCCTGTGAGGTCCGGTGGTAACCTGGAACGGTAATGGGAGACCCTCGTAGATCAACGGAACGATCTAGTAAGGCTGACGAAGGTTCTTGGAACAAAGAAAAACAAGTTAGAAGGGTGCCGGAGTGTTTTTCGGCGTATCCCCTCCGACGATCAAGTCAGTTTTTGAGAGAGAAGAAGAAGAAAACACTGAGTATAATTTGTAGCAAAGGTTTTTTGTTGCATCCCGTCTTGCCTTTTGCGAGGAGTATTTATACCTCAAAAACTTATGATTGCTGTCAGTGTAGTCAGTAGGTGATCATTAGGTACAGGCAACGTGCGCATTGACTCCAATGAGGAATGTCTTTTCTTTTAACTGCTCGGGATCTCGAGCAACCAAGGCTGTGTCATCGGCCTGCCGACTATTCAATGAGCTCTTCTCGGCGAGGATGTAATAAATGTTCGGTCTTAGAGACATTTATTACCTTTCACTTCCGAGCCTTACCGCATTAAATGTTGTCTCATCAAAGGAATAGTATAATTAAATGTTTGCTTTCCCAAATCGTGTGTCAGCAAAGGCATCTGATCTTTCTGTCTCTGATGTGACACAATATGCCACGCGTCCATTCCCTATTAGTTGTGTCTCTTGCCCTCTTGTGCCTTCTGACACCAATTGTGTAAGACGAGGTCATGATAGCTAACCTAGCCTAGCCTAGGCTAGTGACCTGTACATCAATAGCCTCTGCAGGAGCAGAGAACGCCACCCTAGACAGAGATATATCTTGGACCCGAGGGGGGAGGTTCATCTCGGAGCCGAGGGGAGGTACATATAGCGATCGATGTATCCATATCAGACCGAGGGATACATGTCAGTACGTAAACGTACTAGATGCCACTTGATCCTTATGACAAGTACCTCAGGGGAGAGGAACTTGTGAACTGATGGGTACGTGATCTTAGTAACAAGGATTTTAGTGATACCGAGGACACGTGTCTTTATCTTGTAGTATTTCGGAAATGTCCCATCAACTGCCCCCCAGCCTTCGATCTTTTGACGCCGAGGAAACGCGTCGTAAGGAGACGAAGAGTTTTAGAACAACCCCAACTGCTTCATCATTGCGTCTAGCCGTTTTCCCCTGCTTAGGACGTCGTGCGCATTAAATGCGCCTTTTCGTGCTTCACGCCCAATGATGGAATTGGTACTGTATATAAACGGGCTTCCTCTCCTTTTTTATCATTTCGTCATTCTAAACTTTCTCAAGAGAGCCCTCGCCTGAATCTTCGCCGGAGATCTCTTTCTTTCCGTTGTCAACTGCCCAACCTTTTCACTGAAATCTTAATGCCAGCAGACCCATCGTTGTTTCTGAACATTCTAGAAAGAGTCGCCTCAAGTTTTTCAGAAAAAACTCCGTTTTACATTCTGGTGAGTCCCAATATCTTTCCTCTCTTCGTCCTTCTGTCCCTTTTGATTTTTCGACAACCGGTGGTGTCTCTGGTTGCCACTCAGCGACCAATCCTCAGGAAGCTTCCTTAGGGATCTTTGAGGGAAAAACACCCTCCACTTTTTCACTTTTTAGAGATGCCTCGTCGTCGCCCTGCCCCCGAGAATCCTCAGGCCAGTTCTTCGGGGTCAGGGAAGTATAAAGTAAATGGTGATGAGCAAATTAATAGGTTTAGGGTCAAGTACAACATCCCCCCATACGTAGACATAGAGGATTATAACCCAGCTGTGCACTCTCGTACCCTCGGAACCGAGGATGCAATGCCCTTTTATACTAAAGCCATCATAGAGGGCAAAATTAGGTTCTCTTTGCCCCCTCTACTTCTCCAGTTCCTCTCCCATTTACACCTCTTCCCCGGACAGTGTTGCCTTAATGTCTTCAGGATAATTATGGGGGTCTTAGAGCTTAATAGGCGTCTCGGGATAAATGTTGGGCTGAACGATATCCTTTTTCGCTATTCCCTCTTGAGAGTCATGCCTCAACAACACATCTACCTCAAAACCAAGGACCCATCTATGTATCTCGTAACTCATCTTCCCGACTCAGACAAGGGGTACAAGGATGACATATTTATCTTCAAAGGATCTTGGCAGAGAGGTGTCGGTCCCAAGTATAACGGCTTGTTATGCCCCTTGGAATGGAGAACGACAAGTACGTCGGTTCCTTCGGGTCTATTATTTTGTTCTTGAGATTTTCTACGTGTTCATGACTCCTCTCTTTTTTGTTTGTGCAGATGCCCCTGCTCGGGAAACAGCTCCTCCCCCTCGGTCGTTGGTGAACTTTGCTGACCTAGTCACTGTTTGGAGATTTACTGGTGACGACGGGTTCGCCCGGACTGCCCACATTCTTTTTTATTATACTCCCGGATATAAAAAATTTTCACAGTTTTCCCAGCCTTTCGAGCCTTCGCGGTGGTCTGAACTTTTCGATCAATCGGTGAGGCAAGAGGTTGAGGAGAACTTGGAAGAAGACCCTGACCGGGCTTCGGGGGCATAAGTAGAGGGTGAAGTTGAAGAGCTCGGGGTCAGAGAGGACCTGGTTCCTTCGCACGCCGAGGTGGGGACTTCGGGGAGAGATTCGTAGCCGGACTTCCAAATCCTACAATCTCTAGACGCCGAGGACGCCCTCGAGGTAGCTATGTCCAGCACACCCCGCATTGATCTAGGGTTCCTGAGGCAGAGGCAAGCCCTCGCTGTCGGGAGGGGACGAGGATCGACCGGTGGGGCCTCATCTGCAGGGGCCAACGCCCCCATCCTCAAGAGTCGTCATTCGGGGTCAAGTGCGTGATCGGGATCCTCAGGTAGAGGAGGAGAGAAGGGTCAAACATAGGCACGACGGCCTTGGTAGGGGATCCAGGGCCCCCTCCGCTCAGCAGCAAAGCGGGAGAGGCCGTGAGTTATCTTCCGCTCCTCAGCAACAACAACAACAACAACAACAATAGCAACAGCAGCAATAGCGGCAACAACAGACTCCTCCTCCCCTTCCGCAGACAGTGAAAGCCGTGGAGTGGAATCCTCGAGCCACTAATCACATGAACCGAGTAATCAAGGTCGACGACTCCATTTTGCAGGACCCCCATGTCGCTAATGTAGTGAGTGAGACGCTGCATTTTGAGGCCGACATGGTGGCTCACAGGGGGCGATCAACGAACGTGTTGTTTCGCTCTATCATCCATAATTTTCTGGTAGTAAGTTCATCTTTGCTTCAGTCTTTTTTAGCCGCTTTTCTTTTTAGTGACATGCCCTTTCCTTTGCAGGCCTCCCAACAGATTTCTATAATAGCGGCGCGGTATCATGGGGCTAGGATGGACCTTCAGCAGATTCGAGAGCAGAAGGAAGAAGCCGAGGGAGCCCTCGCCAGTGCTAAAAAAGACGTAGCTGCCAGGGATTCCACCCTCGCGGGGCAGACTGCTCAAATCGAGCAACTCTTCAAGGATGCCGAGTTAGCGAAGGTCGGCGCTGAAAAGCTAAGTGCTGCCCTTGCCGACGCTGAGAGGAGGATTACGGAGCAGACGCAGCGGCTCTCTGCGGCAGAGGAGAGGGCTGTTGGTTCAGAGGAAAGCTGTTTGGCTCTGAACCAGGAGCTGGACAGGATCAGGGCTGAGGCACGGAACCGAAAGTCTGAGGAGCAACTCCGAGAAGAGTTCGCCGATGACGTGCTCCCCGCTCTTGAGGAAAATAGCAAGGAGTTCTTCAAGAAGGGGTGGACGAGGCGCTCTAGTCTGTTGGGATCCCGTCAGACTCCCCGCTCTTCCAGATGCATAAATACGTTCCCTCGGCAGAGATGAAATAGGCCGAAGCCGAGATTGCTGCCGAGGGCGCGATGCCAATGCCGGTGCAAGTTTCGGTTGATCTGTCCGAGGGGGTAATTGTGGATTTGTCTGATGATGCCCTGCCGGACCAGGCCCCTGACCATAATATTCCTCAGGCTCTCTCTGCTACCGAAGTACCTCCCACTCTGCCTGCTCCCGCAGCTGCTCAACCTTTTTACGCTGATTCGCCCTCGGGCGATGTTTTGGAGATGCCCGGGGCCAGATTAAAAGCTTTTTTTTTTCTTTTCGATTGTATTTTTTTCTCTTGTAGCTCTTGGGAACGCAAAGCCCCTTTCTTTGAAATAAAGTTTTTTTGGAGTACTTATACTTTCTTGCGTACACGTCTCCTTTTTTTTTTTTTGCGTAGGAGTCCCTGAACTCTGTCCTCAGGGCCTTGCCCTTCCAAGAGGCTTGCTCCTGTGTTTGTTTCGAGGGCAGAAGTCCTTGAACTCTGTCCCCAGGGCCTTGCCCTTCTAGGAGGCTTGCTCCTGTGTTTGTTTCGGGGGCAGGAGTCCTTGAACTCTGTCCCCAGGGCCTTGACCTTTCAGGAGGCTTGCTCCTATGTTTGCTTCGGGGT